GCTGCCATCAATCAGATGGAAGCTCGACATCGAACATGCTCTCTCGCACTGACCTTGGACGGTGTTTGGAGGCTCAAGTGGAGGGCCCTAAATTCTTAGTTTCTCGTCGCTGTGGCATCAAATGACCTCAGCCTACGGAATATGAGAACGGTGTACAGTGTACGGTGTACGGAGAAGTCGTTGGAACGAAGAGGTGATCGTGTCATCTACGAACACCCTTGACTCATGGGACTAGGCCCGAATCGCGATGGCGCTCTAGTGTCTACTACCATCTCCATCTCCAATATCCATCCCCATCCTCATCCTCCGGGAAAAGCCTCATATCGTACCGGAGTAGGGAAAAATCCTGCCTGCCCGCCTTTTGCCTCTCCCGCCGTCAAGGTCAAAGGTTGCGGGAGTCACACCGCTTTCCAGGCCCCATCGCGAGGACGACGGTTAATCAAATCACATCAAACCATCACACCACATTTGTTCCTTCCCACCCCTCCTCAGACATATTAACGTCATTCGACCCATGGTTCCAATCCACCCTTTTCCTTTTTCTTCTATTGTTTCTGTTTTCTCTGACCTCTGTTCTGTCTCCGAAGTCTCCATTCCACCATCTCCTCCCCATCCAGCGGCCCACGTTCTTGTGATCGCCCGGGCGCCCTCGATCTGGTCAACGGTATTGGCCCGTCGTGGGGTGAATGACGTCCACGGGTCGGCGGTTTGTGGTTTGGGGACACGGAGTAGTAACTCTAGTGAGTACATCGATGAGGCGTGACCGAAGTCTCGTTGATAAATCACCAACCCACAGCCGTTGGTTCGTTCGAAGGTTCCCGTAGGGCCAGTAGCATCGCTGTATTCGACCGGAGGTTTGAAATACACTCTGTACTGGCCCTTGCCTCATTTTATTCCGTTTTATTTTATTGAATTATTATTTGTTCTATCTTTATTTTTCGGATCGCCGCCACGGAACACTCACCTCTTCATCCATTATCTCATTTTTCTGTTTCTTTCATCTTCTGCCCCTCCCTGAACCGCTACCTACGTAGAGTTGGATACCAGACCGACATCTAGGAAGTCTAGACAATCCATACCTTCACCGGTAGAATATTGACTCATAGGTCTGTACGGAGTATGGAGTACTCCGTACTGTACAGTAGATTCCGACCCTCATACAGGAAAGGACACCAGTGGATCTGAGCAAGAAGCGCATGTCCTGGCTCTCGATCTCCACGCGCATTCCTCATGTCAGGAGTACTCCGTAGTCTTAGATAACGACTCGAATCTCCTACCTTGGCAGATAACCATAGAATAGGAAAATACAGTACATTCGAGATTAACAACCGACCGACGCAAGGGAGAGAAACCCAGAAAAATCAATCCAAATAAAGCTAATCCCGTCCTATCCAATCTCATCTCATCCGGGAATACCTAGGAGTCCTTTTCCTGCGCCTAGAGAACCAACCCACCCCCTAACCTCCTCCCGCGAGGTTCCTGTTTTTGTGCAATCTCGGCACACGGTGGTGTCTCACGCCACGATGGCGGGGGGGAGAGGGAGGGAGACAAGGGAGGAAAGTAGGAGGTTTCTTGGCGGAAAGGCTGTTGGGAATCTAATTACCTACCTAGTAAGAGGTGAACCAGTAAGGTAACTAACTATCTAGGTAGTTGATGCTGATGGAAAGAATGTACAGTACTGTGTATGCAGGTCACGATTGAATTACATACACACTGCCTGGGTAACTTTGTATGTATTATGTATTCTATACCCCCTAGGTACTGTACACAGACATACTGAGTACCTACGGAGTAAGAGGTAATCCCGACGGAACTATTTCGGAGAATGAAGACATCTCTGATTTGCATGATAGCCAGTCTATGACATCTGATCTACGAATTAGCGCGGATGTTCACAGTCTACTCTACTGTGTGTCAAAATCCAACGAACATGGGGAATTGGGAAGGGGGGGGGAGGGCAATATCCCGTTTCTAGGGCGGGCTGGCGAAGCGGCGAAGATGGGTAGATGATGTAAATTGGTCTGACCGTATGTACACCGTAGTTTGGTTTTTTTTTTTTTTTTTTTTTTTTGTTTGTTTTTGTTGCTACGGAGAGAAGCCGATGCGAGTCGGCGAGGGAAAGCCGAGAAAAGTGGACCGGTGGAACTGGGGATCTGACGACTTTCAATCAATCAATCAATCAGACCTTTAAGGCGAAATGGGAAAAGGAAAAAAAAAAAAAAAGCAGAAAAAATGACGACGACCCCACTGCAGTCAGTCAGTCAGTTAACTGCGAGAATGATCAGCAGGTGTTGATTTGTGGTATCCCGCGTGAGGGCGAAGGATATTTACGGATAGGTAGTTACCTACTGTAACTATGGAGTACTGTGTTTACTGTCCATCCACAGTAGGTCATTTCAGGGTTACTCTACTCTACCCTGTACAGTAGTCTGTCCAGTACAGTTGCAGATTGCAAAAAATGAAGACCTGCCAAGCCTCCGGTGGTTGTGCGGGCCCACGGACCAAGTCAATTCACCGATCGTCATGCAGCCGACAGAATGTGGAAGCAGTCAAGAACCTGGGCCGGCTGAGATCAGAAGTTGGGGTAGGAATTGCCGTTTCAGCCAGTGAGTCTCGCAGTGTTCAAGTGTTCGAGTCTCAAAGACAGCCACCACAACTCGATAACAAGTTCGCTAGTTCGCATGTGTGGCTCTGGTTCGGGGAACCCTATCAGGTCGGTCAACAACCTCTGCGGAAGTTCAGTGGTAGATAACACTGATGAGCAAGTCTAGTTGAACGTTAACGGACCCAAGGTTTCGGCCGCATGATGAAACGAGCGGCTATCGCGCAAACAACAAGGCAAAATTCGCCTCCTGGCTCGTCATTTACATTTCCCCTTCCGTCGGCTTGGCTTGGCTATCAGTTACAGATTGGAGAGTCGAACCATGGTCGGGAATCACGATGTTCTTCGTGGAGGTGTCCTCGAAAAAGGCACGTCTTCGATCGGTCGGACAGGTCAGTTGGTTTCTTTGTTGCGTTCATTTCTTTTTTCTTCCCTCTCAAAGTCGTGGCATGATGAGGTGCTTGACAGGATTCGGGCTAAATCCAATCCATAGTTCCAAGTAATACACTAGCCATGCAGGAGGTCAATTAGTCCCGGATGACCCCAAGAACGCCAATTGATGGGCGCAAAGACCAGCTGGCGACTATCGGTTTTGAAGCTGCAAATCATCATTCGCCTCTGTGTGTCTATTCCCAGCCCGTCTACGAGTGAGTAGATACTCGCATTGGTGTGGATCCTGCCAATGTACGGACTATCACCATTTACCACGAAGTATTCTAGAGTGATTCCAGCGCCCGTCGGCGGAATTCTACCACTGCATGTACGGTGTACGGTGTACACTGGGCTAGCTCGTCGGCCGCGCCGGCCAAACTATCCAAATCCTGGGCGTTGGAAAGGTATTCTGGATGTAACCCTTTTATCGGGGTGATTGCACGGATTATATGGCGACTTCGTTCTACCCCGCAATGCTTGATACTACAAGAGGCTTGGGCGCGGTCACGATCCTTCCAATCACCCTCCCCTGTTCGTCGGCTCAGCCTTTGATCTTCTCCGTGGAAGGTCGTACAGACTACTGTATTAATCGCGGGAGAATTGAGATGTCGCCCTCTAATGTCGCCAGGTGCCTGCTGGGTCAGACGGCTCTCGTTCCGGATGGTGGGCGGAAATCTCCCACTTTCCAGATTGGACTTGTGTTCTGAAGGATCAGCCCTGGTCCAAAGGTACTTACATACGTACAGGAGGACCCTGTATCAAATGTGCTCCGTAGGTACGTACACACACATATTGTACATACATGCGTCCGTTGTGCAGGTCATCCTCTCAGAAATAGGCCGGTCATCGGACGCCGTGACTAGAGCAGTAACGGTGACTGTTATGCTCATGCGTACGGAGAAATCCCGCTTACGGATCTGGATATATTAGATGCCACTCATCGACAGTCAACAGACAGATCCGGATAGTCAGACAGACATCCCGTACAGGGACTCCCGGCTGATCCCGTGTGTGCGTGCACAATACACATTCCCATGCTCCCCAGATTTTTAAGCGAACGCGTATGTGACTACGGTAGGTACATCATCTGGCTCTTATGTAATGCCCTCCATCTCGTACTGAGTCCGATGATCATGGGTCATCCGGGCAAGGATGTGCAAGCTCCCTCCTCTGCAATGTCGATCTATCAAATTCACGGACCATTCAGGTTATCTCTTGGAGGCAGATGGTATCACACCCGATCGGATTGACGGGGAGGCGAGTGAAAGTGTGTGTTTGTGTGGGTGGGTGGTACTGAAAGGGGGATTTGCTTGCTCAGATCGTGGAATCCGTACCGGGTGCAGATGAGAGACCGAAAAAAACTCTGAAAGCATCAGCAATGTGATAGAACACAGCCGACATGCAAAGGTTATGCAGTATGGTCTGATTCGACCCGACCTGGCCACTCCGATGCAGGTGGGGAAGGGCGAGAGAGAGTGAGAGAATCTTTGTTGGGAGTCTTCAGACGAGACAGGAGACGAAAAGGGATGAAACCGCCAACGGTTTTACCTCGAAAAAGAAATCCGAACACCCAAAAATAAAGGGGGTACGATGAGAGTCATGTTGGACAAGACCCATGGTTCTTTTTATCTCGGACCGTTTCGGTGAAAGGCGGGGTTGCCTTCTAGCATTCCCCATCGGGGCTGGTTCGCTTGGCAGTCATGTGCGCCAAGGTTGCCCCCCAGCCCATGGGTGGCCTGGTGGCCTGGTGGCGGTGCCTGGATTATCTCAGCCGCTCAAGCCGTCAAGCCTCAAGCCACAGGGGGTCGGCTGAGAATCCGGTGGGAAAAGTGGCGGTCGTTGGGGCGGTGTGGCCTTTCTGACGTCGATGTCATTTCATCATTGCCTGGCAGCGGATCCCCTTCTCTTCCCTGTCGTCCATCCCCCGACTCCCTAGACTTCCTCCCATCATGAATGATCCCCAACAATGACATCGGCGGACCGGTCTGCAACGGGCGATATCTATGATCCCAGCTCTCTGCCGGATTATGACCGTCAATTTATCGACCCCGACGACCTGCGGCAATTCGAGAATGCGCTGAATGGCAACGAGGCCGACCCGCTGATCGCGCTCAACGACTGGCGTCCCATCTACCAACGTGTGCGGAAGAGTAGAGGCCGACGGGGCAAGCCCAGACGAAGCAAAGATGAGACGCGGGAAGGCGTGCTGTACACGGTGCTCAAGTGGCCGTTTCTCTTCATCGTGTTTGGCTGGATCATCTTTCTGGGGTTCGGCTACACCCTGATCCGCTTGTACATCTTCCTGTACGAGCAGTGGGTGTCCTGGAGGGGCAAGCGCGAATCGCTTCGCCGGCAGCTGTCGGCGCAGACAAACTACGGCGATTGGTTGAACGCTGCACAGGCCCTCGATGATCATCTCGGGAACCAAGCGTGGAAGGAAATAGACGAATATGCATACTACGACCACCTGACGATAAACAAATTGGTGACGCAGCTGAAGAGCGTGAGAAGTCTAGTTGAACAAGAGCGCCAGCAGGACGGTTCTGGCTCGACCGAGACGACCGCGGTGGAGGAGCTGTGCACGCTGTTGGAGGCCTGCGTCAAGAACAACTTCGCCGGCGTCGAGAACCCGCGACTATACAGCGAGTCCTACTCGGGAACCAAGGACCTGGCCCAGGAATACATCGACGAAGTGAAGACGTGCATTGATTTGGTTGCGGACAATAAGCGAATCAGCAACGACGACAAGTTTCATCATTATAGACATTTGGATACCAATTTCGGACGGACGGCTCTCTGCCTGTCTGGGGGTGCCACTTTTGCATATTATCATTTTGGCGTGGTCAGAGCGCTTCTGGATAACGGCGTTTTGCCTCAGATCATCACCGGGACCTCGGGCGGAGCTCTGGTCGCCGCTCTGGTGGCCACTAGGACCGATGAGGAACTGAAAGAGCTGCTTGTGCCCGCATTGGCTCATCGCATCAGGGCCTGTCATGAAAGGTTCACGACGTGGATGTGGCGTTGGTGGCGGACAGGTGCCCGGTTCGATGCCGTCGACTGGGCTCGCGAGGGTAGCTGGTTCTGCAGAGGCTCGACGACGTTTCGCGAGGCCTACGAGCGTACGGGACGGATCCTGAACGTCTCGTGTGTGCCATCCGATCCTCATTCGCCTACAATTCTGGCAAACTATCTCACCTCCCCCGATTGTGTCATATGGAGCGCCATGCTTGCGTCTGCAGCAGTTCCCGGCATTCTGAACCCTGTCGTCCTCATGACGAAAAAGCGTGATGGCACACTTGCCCCCTACTCGTTTGGACACAAATGGAAAGACGGTAGCTTGCGGACGGATATACCTGTCAAGGCCCTGAACTTGCACTTCAATGTCAACTTTACCATCGTCTCGCAGGTAATTCTTGAGCACCATTATCTTTCTCTATCAACATTGCTAACGCACCTTTTAGGTCAATCCCCATATCAATCTCTTCTTCTTCAACTCTCGAGGAACGGTCGGTCGGCCCGTCACCCATCGCAAAGGTCGTGGTTGGCGCGGAGGATTCCTCGGATCAGCCATCGAGCAATACATCAAACTAGACATGAACAAATGGCTTCGAGTCCTCCACCACCTCGAACTCCTCCCTCGACCACTCGGCCAAGACTGGAGTGAGATCTGGCTCCAAAAATTCAGCGGCACTGTCACCATCTGGCCCAAGACCATTCCGTCCGACTTCTACTACATCCTCTCAGACCCCACCCCCGATCGCCTCGCCCGCATGCTCCGCGTCGGCCAACTCAGCGCCTTCCCGAAGATCCAGTTCGTCAAGAACCGACTCAAGATCGAAACGGCCATCACCGCCGGTCTCAAGGAGTTCGCCCCCGCCGGCGCAGCAGGCCGCATCATGTCTCCTCTCCGTCGTCGCCGTCGTCCAATTGACAATATCTCCTCCCGCCTCGATGGCTCTATGACCGAAGACCAGGAAGGAGACCACTCGGACTACTACAAAGACGACGTGCAACCGTTCGTCCTCGACGTCTCAGACCATTCCAGTGCCGATCCAGCCTCGTCGGTCGCTTCTTCTCGCGACTCTTCCCGTCTCGATACCCATCGACACCACTCCAGCAATATCTTCCAGGAAATGAGACGGCAGTCGGCTGTTTTCTTCGATGACTCTGATATGTACGCGGAGGACGACCTGCGGAAGATGCAGTGAGATTTTGGTTGTTGTTGTTGTTGTTGTTGTTGTTGTTGTTTCGGTGTCATCCATACCTACCTACCTACCTACCTACCTTATTTTTATCCGCCGTCGGGCCTGTGTGACTCTGACATGGGACGGACTTGAGTTGTATACATCTGCTGTTCTTGGACAGATGGTCGCTCGGCGTAGCACACCTAAGTCTGTATGTTACGATATATAGTTACCGGGAGAGGGGACTTATTCATAGCGATTTCCTAAATATCTTTATGTACATTATTAAACTGTTTAATCTTGTTTTGCCCGTTTAGATACATGGATAATATATCTTTATTCGGAGGATCAGATACGCTCACTATTGGATATATACATTGTGTTATAATCCGCACGGGGAATTGTCATTCGACGGACACAGTCACTACTAATCCAAAGATGCTATTGAATATCTCCAAAGATTAACACTAGGAATGGAGTTGTTGGTTGAGAATGTGTCTATCATGATAGATTTCTATCAACCGGTTGTTGCATGTACCTGGTACCTAAGTACCTGACTGCCCGAGGCAACAAAGACAGAAGTGGCAAACAAGCACGTGATGCACCACCTGACAAAAATAACCAGTCAAACGACACAATCGCTATGGAGTCCCTAGCAAGACTCAGTAGGTAGAACCAACACCCTCAATCAAGTCTTAGATTGAACAATGGAGATGGAAATATTCAAACACATCCTCTGCAGAAAGCAAATAAACAAATAAACAGATAAAAAAGATAAAAATAAAACATATTGTACTCCCATGGTCGGGATCATTCATCAATTAATCCATAATGTACTCAGCATTAACATCCATCCTGAAGACTTTCAATCCATCAATCCGTCGTCATAAACCGTTTTCCTTGAACATCACAATCATTTGAGACACAACCGGGTCTCCCAAATCTGCAGATGGCCAAGACCAAGAGAAGAGAAAAAGAACGTGTAAAAATGGAAAAAAAAGGAGAACATGAAGAGACAGATGGAACTGGTCGGAACGGTGAACTCCAGTCCCGGTGCAGTCACACATCTGGAATAAAAAGAAGGAGAAAAAACCAGACAGATACATACACAAAAAAAGGAAAATGAAAACAAAGGGTCAGTTATTCATCCAAATGTAGTAGGTGGCCAAACCAAGTTTGCGAATCGATTAATAGATAACAACTCTCCTCCCGATAAATCCGTAAATAAGGACGTCTGGCTTTTGTTTTGATAGGAGAACAAATCGGATCCTGCCACTTTTGCCCAATCTCAATCTAGTCAAATCAATGCATAGATAGAAGTTATGTGTTTTTGCTTTTTTGCTGCTTTAAGAATCGACCAAATAATAGAGGTTAAGTATCCCTATTATGCGATGTTGTCCAGCTTGCCATCAGTCTTGGCGTCCCTGACCTGCTCGAAGACCTGTGAAGTACATAGTTAGCATGAGTCGGTCCGCCGGTTCTGTTTGTCGGGAAAATCGTCACTTACCTTGAGCATCTTGTTTCTGGCACCAAGCGCGTTGACTCCACGCTCTTCCAGTGCCTTATCATCCAACTGAATCAGATCGATCCATTTCAGGTCCTTCAGGTTCTCCGTGTACTTGTGTAGACGGAGAGACCGCAGCCAGCTGGGAATATCTTTCAGCAGGCTGGGGTCCGTCGGGTCCTCAGGCGGCTTGGAGCTGCCACGGCGTCCACGCGGGGATCGACCCCGGGTGACCTCCGAGTGATCCGAGAGATAGCCTTCGTGACCGCCAAGTCCGAACTGTCCCATTCCAAGGGTGTTTAGTCCGTTGCCCATCAAAGGGTTGTTGGGGTCATAGGCCGCCAAGAATCCGTTGTTCTGCGGAGACGTGAATCCCATAGGTCCCAGCGAGCCACCTTGCATGGCGATGCCGGGGGAGGTCGGACGCGAACGTCGGCCTGCCATCGCGGCCTGCTGCTGTGCCTGCAAAGCGGCCAGTTGCTGAGGATTGAGAAGCTGGCCCGCAACGAGGTGGTTTGGGCCTGGGAGACCAGGGCTGGCAAGGCCGCCTTGGGACAGGTGGGGGTTGGCGTTGGAGTTCTTGCCCTGTCCCTCGTTGGAGCGGGCACGGCGGTATTTGCGAGCATCGTCCAACGCAATGCGGTTGTTCACGGTCGACAACGCGGCCAGTTTCATCGCAGTGGCATTCGCCACCATGTCGGCCTGCGTGTTCGGTTGCTGAGGCTGCTGCTGCGCCTGTTGTCCGAACGTGGCCGTCATCGGAGTGTTGGTCATGGAAGCCCAGCTGGCATTTCCAACGTTGTACGGAGACAGCAACGGCGCATCGATGTCCGGAGCAGGGATAGTGGCGGTCTGCGGCAAGGGAGAGCGCAGGCTCGAGGCCTGACTGAACTGTCCCATGGGCTGCTGACCGGAGGACGACTTGGGCCGAGCAATCGGCGGCTGAGGTTCGGCACCTCGCTGGGCCCACGGAGACACGGGGGCCTGTCCCAAGTTGTCCGTGTTGCTGTCGGGAGCGGAGATGGTAGGGGCAACGAAAGAAGTCCGATCGCCAAAAACGGCACTGTTACGGTTGGAAGGGGGCGCGTTGCCGGTCTGCTGAGTGAACTCGGCCTTCTTCTTGGCAATCGCGGCGGCCGCATCGGGGAACATGGCATTGATCGTAGAGGAGTCAAGTCCCGAGTTACGCTTGGCACCGGGAGACGGAGGAGGGCGTCCAAGCGAGTTGCGAGAACTGTCCACATTCAACTTGGCCATAGCATCATTTAACCGATTTGACATGGCGTCTGTTTCACAATACAGCGTCAGTGATGATCCTTTCTTCATTTACAAAATCAAAACAATTAGGTCTCCGTATGATGGTTTACGTACCCTTTTCGCCAAAGTTAGCCGGAGATAATAATCCCGACATTGGATGGCTCTTGGACATCTGCTGGAGGACTTGAATGAAGAAACGGATCTGTACCTGCGTGGTCTGCTGGAGCAGAGCGTACAGCGCAGCCGTTCTTTCCGCTTCGCTGAGCACGCGGAACCATTGTTCGATGGCGCTCAGTTCATCCTTGAAGTCCTGATCCAACGTGGCAGCGGCCATCTCCTCCAGTGTAGTTTCGTACTGATCGATGTCGGCAAGCCACTGCTGGGCCGCGCGATCCAAGGGATCCTCCGCGTTGTTGGGGGTCTGAGACTGCTGATGATTATAATACACTTCCGACGCCGGGCGGATGCTTCGGGAAGAGAGAGGGGACGGAAAGCCCGACATATCGGCGGAGGCTCGTAGTTGGTGCGATCCTAGGTTGCGAGATGAGGAAGGAGGACGAAGGCTCGATTTGGAGGCTTCCGGAGTGCTGTTGCGGTTTCCGATAATGTGGCTGGCCATGAGGAGCAAGGAGTGAAGAAAATTATTCGGACAGAGAGGGGGTCGAGAGAAGGCTTCGGATGATTGCTTTACACAAGGCTTCGATGTAAAATAGATACAGAAAGAGAAATATTACTGCAAAGCACCTGCAGCACCGGCTGAGTTTGCGTATAAGACGAGGCGAGCCTTGATCCGAGAGAGGACACTCTTGTCGAAGACGAGACGGTTGAGGGGCCGTTCGGGATAGCAGATAGGCAGGACGGGTGCTTCGAAGACCGGAATAGAAAACTATGCCTCTCTAAGGACGGAGACAGAGATTTCCTCACCAGGTGGTGTGGTTTTTTCTTTCGGGGGGAAGCGTGGAGAAGAAACCGAAGGGCAACGGCTCTAGGCAATTGGCGATTGGGGCACAGACCAGTCCAGTGGCTGCACTACCGGGATCGAGAATCTGGAAAAAGATTCGAACCGAAGGAGCATCAAAGGATTTTTCGTTGTCTAAGAGGTAGTGGATTCGAATGGACAGAGCGGAGCGACAACGAATATACTAGGGAAATTGTGGGTTCTGGCCTCTTTTTTCTTTTTTTTTTTTTTTTTTTTTTTTCTTCTCTTTAACTTTCTCTAAACGAAAGGATGTTCAAGGGTCAACCGCAGTAGTGTGTCAAACACAGCAAGCAGAAGTCTTGAGCATCAAAGAACCGAAAGAAAAGGAAAGTAAGAAAAAGGGGGTGGAGAAGGAAGAGATGAGAGGAGGGGGGGAGATGGATGGCGAAGGGAAGAGAGGAAGAAGGAAGAAGAAAGAGAGGAGAGAGAGCGAAAGGCAGGGAAAAGGAAAGGTGGGAAGCGAAAGGACGCTTTGCCGTTCCGGTGCTGCAGGTCACTGGACTGCCGCTTTTTCTCTGCCGTCGAACTCTCCTCTTTCTCTCTTGTCACTTCCCTCCTGCGTCTCTCGCCGGTCTGCTGGACGCCGATTACTTTCATCGGGGAATTGAGTTTATTCGACTATTTTTGACTTTTGAATCGGAATTTTGCCCCCTATTTTCTCCCTCCCGGTCCTGCGACTCGGTTCAAACCTGACAGCTGGAACATATCCTGTTCGAGCTTCTCGCCCTGCAGCGGTCGCCTTAGCTTAGTGTCCGACAGGCTGGGCGCTTATTAAGAGGTTGCTATGAATAACTAAATGTACACTATTGCTTTTTGTTCTCTCTTTATTTTTGTTTTTATTTTCTCTTTTTTATTTGCATCTTTGGTTTTTAATTCACGTTCACCATTTGTGGCCACTGCGGCTTCGCTAAGATAGTGGAATCAATTTCTAATATACTTCCTAGACATTGACTGACTCGAGGAATCACTGTCGAAGCAACTTGATTAGCTCTATCCTTCAACCTCAGAGTCACACTTTGTCATCTTGCGCCGTAATAGCTGTACATGCTGCTATCCAGTACTCCATCGCTTCACCTGAGCCTGTGCCTGCTGGGACCGTGCGACAAGTGATAGGCATCTTACCTGGCCCGTGGTTGTTCTGGACCCCGAAGATCCTCGTTCGGTTTCCATGCATTGGTGGACACGGCAGAGAGTGCGCAACAACATCGATATCGCCGGATAATTCGTATCTCACCTAGACAAAATGGAATACCCTGACCCCGACCATCTGGATCATCATCCTTCTTCCCAGGAGCATGCTTATCCTGACATCAATGAATCAATCCACTATCCATGGCAGGGAGAAGAGCAACCCATTCAAACCGAAGACTCCCTGCATTCTGTGATCGATCCACGTCTGTACAAGGACTTGTTCTCCGCGAGTGCCTCGCAGCTACCAGATCAGTCGCTCGAGGACGAAGACGACGAGGCGGCAAGGTTCGCCGATGAACTGTATCCCAGAATTGATGACTCAGCCGAAGACGATGACTATGAATATCCCGGAGAGGAAAGCTCAGGGTATGTATTAATCGCATGCGATCCTGTTTATCTATCATGTTTGGCTGACCGTCAACGCAGGGACGATGAGTTTGCTGATATGCCGACGGATGAAGGGGACGACGATGAGTCGGATTCTCGAAGACGGCGTCGTCGCCGCCGAGGCACTGGGCCCTTTTCTGGTCGATATGGCGCTAGAGGTGGTAAAGGGATCAAAAGAGGGCCTCGTAAACCGTTGGAACCCAGCCCGGAATTTAAAATTCTTCATTCCGAGGCCACTGCTGCATTCATTGACGGTGACTATGACCGGGCTGCCACATTAACCAAACAAGCAATTCAGACCAATCCGGAGATGTTTGCTGCCCATTCTTTGCTATCGGAGATCTTTCTCGCGCAGGGCCAAAGAGACAAAGCCCTGACGGCATTGTTCAGTGGAGCTCATACCCGTCCTAGGGATCCGACAGTCTGGGCGAAAGTTGCAAAAATGATCATGGATCGGGCCGGAGATGATCGATTTACAGCACTCAACGACGTCATCTACTGCTATAGCCGTGTTCTGGAAATCAATCCTAGAAACCACAATGCGCGGTTTCAACGAGCTGCGATCTATCGGGAGTTAGGTCACAACGGACGTGCCGCTACGGAATACGAAAGGATCCTCAAAGAACTCCCTCATAGTCTTAGGGCTCTTCGACATATCGCCGAAACCTATATCGACAGTAAAGAAGTCCAGAAAGCCGTGAATCATTGGTCCAAAAGTGTCAAGTACATGACATCTTTAGACCCCTCAGCCGCCCCAGAATTCTCTTGGTCAGATGCGAACATTTTTGCCGAGCTTTATGGCTACCAAGGCGATCATGCTACAGGACTAAGGTCCTTGAAGGCTCTCTGCAGATGGCTTCTGGGCCGTAGGGAGGATACGATGTGGGAAAGATTTGACGAGGATGACCGCGAATGGGATGCTGATGACTCCCCCCGACGTATCAAAACCAATGGGTATATACCAGGCCAGTGGCCGCGTGACTCGTACGGGCTAGGTCTTCCCCTTGAACTGCGCATCAAGCTTGGTCTCTTCCGGGCGAAGATGGGATACGAGCACAGAGAGGAAGCCTTGGTAAGTCCACTAGAAGCAGCGGGATAATCGAGGGGTTACTTCTTTGCTTATACATTGGGACAGCATCATTTTGAATGGTTAAACCCAGAGGACAATTCGGAAGGGGCCCGGCTCTATGACTACGGTGACCTTTTTAGAGAGGTCGCGGACGCTTTGAAGGATGTGGGACTGCTTGAGGATGCCCTCCGATTCTATATGCCTCTCCAGCAAACGAACGAATACGCGGATATCAGCTACTTCCTGGCCATGGGAGATTGTTATGCGCAGCTAGAGCGGTTCGAAGAGGCGGAAAATTGCTATCTCACCGTCGCAGATTATGACCTGACAAACATCGAGTCGCGTGTTCAACTAGCAAGGCTGTATGAGAACATCGATATGACCGAACGGGCTCTCAAATACGTCAATGAGGCGGTTTTGCTTGGCAGACAGGAGAGCAGAGGTAATCGACGAAGAAAAGACACGAGGCTTGAAAATTTGGCAATGGAATTCAAAACGGCGGAGCTGGGGCCCGAAACGATGGCTTTTCGGACGATTGCGCCTCGACCTTCCGAGGAGGAGGAAGAGCCAGCAGCCCCAGCCTTGACAACGGTTCCGCCGACCAAAGAACGTCCCGAGGTCGACAGCAACAGAACAGAGAATGTCCAGTACCTTTACTCCAAATTAATGCAGCTACAACCCCATGTTAAAGATGGGCACGTTGAAGCAACGGAGGACTGGTTGGATATTGCAGATGCCCTGTTGCGCGAATTCCGGTCCAATCGTATCTTCTACCCAATGATTCGCGGCACCGCTTTCTCAGGATATTCTAAAGAAGCAAGAAAGAAGGCCAACAGATCCAAGGGCCGGTCGTTTATCGATGAAATGCACGAAATGGCAGGCCGTCTCCAGGAGACTTTAGGTAAGTCGTCTCGATTTACAATGCATTTATTCGAAAACATTGCTGACCCTCAGGTTTAGGGAATGATCCTGAGGAAGACGCGCTGGGGCAGATCCCAACAGATTATCATGGGATATCGTTCGAGGAATGGCTGGATCTTTTCCTTCAATATGCCCTCGTCGTAGTCAGCCAGAATGAGCCGGACGAAGCGTATGATACTCTTGCCGCGGCCGCTGAGGCCAGCATTTGGTACCATTCGAAAGAAAACGCCCGTCAGATCCACATTTGCTGGTTTACCTGTGCACTACGAGCGCAAGACGAAGAAGCACTTGCGAATGAGGCACGGTGGTTCATCAAAGAATACCAATTTGTCACCGACACCTACCGCCTCTTCGGCATGCTCAGTCGCCTTAGTGGTGACCCTCACCGATCGTTATTCCACTCCTCCCCCAACATGAAATTTATGCTGCGTCAGATCAAGGCCATGGACTTCACACTGCCCAAAAAGGGAGGCAAGAACGTTCGTTCCATGAGGCCCGTCCGGGAGTCCATCTACCGGGAACGCGCCGCGCTTTCAACACGTGACGAAGCTGGCGAGGCCATCCCAGCCGAGGAAATGGACGTCGCCCTGCTGGTCTTATACGGCCACATTCTCTACTCGGGCAACAGCTTCGTCCCGGCCCTGAACTACTTTTTCCGCGCCTACGATCTCGACGACCAAAACCCCGCCGTGCTCCTCTCCATCGGCCTCTGCTACATCCATCACTCGCTGAAGCGACAGTCCGAAAACAGACACTACCTCATCATGCAGGGCCTGTCTTTCATGCACGAATACCGCCGCATCCGCGAGCAAAAGGGGACTCCGCTTGTGGAACGCCAGGAAATGGAGTTCAATTTCGCTCGCGTGTGGCATATGCTTGGTCTCGCACATTTGGCTATAGAAGGGTACGAGAAGGTCCTGGCTCTGTCCGAAGAGAGGAAGATGCAGGCACAGACAACGCAGAACGACAGCGATGTGATCATGACAGACGCGGGGCTCTCGCAAGAGCAGGAGCAGGCGCAGAAAAAAGCTCCCTTCGTGGAAGACTTCGCGCCAGAAGCGGCTGTAGCCTTGCAGAATATCTATGCGCTCAGTGGAGATTTGAAATCCGCGCAGGAGGTCACTACCAAATATCTGGTTATTTAAGAAAAAAACAAGTAGTTATATATCCTAACTAAGATAAATTCAAACCGTGTGCAAGATGAACCCAAACACTGTAGCCTTTTAGTCTTTGATGGATGGGATGAAGAATCGCAAATCTCTCTCCCTTTGTTTCTCTTTTCTTTCTTTCCTTTCATCTTTCTCTTTCTTGTCTCCGATTTATCCATTAAACAAACAAACGCGCACAACAAAACACAACCCAAAAGCACAACAACGAATACAAAGAAAGAAAAGCTCACCCAGCAAACCGACTCCTCGCCCTCAAGCGCGCCCCATACTTCCAAATCAAAAACATCCCCACGACCCCAAGACACGAAATAGCCGCCAAGATCGTCACACCTTTGCTAATACCCACATTCTCATACATATACGGGGTCACCATAATAAAGATCGCAGCCGTCGCTGACCGGGCAAAGTCATTCCCCGCCAACAGCGACGCCACGTACTGCGGATACGACGGCGGCAGGTAAACCAGGATACCTTGGAACGTGACGAACGTGCCGCCAGCGTACAGGACGATCCCGATGGTAGGGACCACCCAGTGGACGGATTCCCGGGCGGTCCAGGCGAACAGGAACAGGCCGATCGGGGTGAGGCAGACGGCGGGGAGGGCGGGGAAGAGACATGCTTCAAGGTTGTTGGTGTCGACGAGGGTTTGTTGCGAGGTGGGACGGCGGAGGAGGTAGAGGGCGTAGAGGGCGGCAGCGATCACGCAGCCGATGACGATGGAGACGAAGATCAAGCTGAAGGAGAAGAGGTCCATGTGGTAGGTGTTCATGTAGACGAGGTCGAAGGCCTCAAAAAAGGAGTAGTAGATCGCGTAGATAAAGGAGGTGTAGAGGCAGGTGAAACCGATGGCGGGGTCTTTGATGCAGATCTCGATAGGGCGGGAGAGGGTTTCGCGAAGGTGTGTGCTGAAGGGGACGGGTTTGAGCTCGCTGGGCGCGAGGATGGTGGGTTGGTGGGAGGAGTTGAGGTTTTGGCGTCGGAGACGACGTGCTCGGTGCAGGAGGATGGTCTCGCCGTAGGTTTCGGGAAGGAGGCAGGCCATGAAAATGAAGATTGGGGCGGCCATCATGGAAATCTCCCAGAAGGTCCAGTGCCAGGACCGGGTGTAGACGATCTTGCTGGAGAAGAGAGGGCCCAGAGCTGGACCGCAGTAGATGCAACTGACCCAGGTGATGAAGGCATAGGGGACTGCGTTCCACGAGTAGATGTCTTGGAGGGATGCGCCGCCGGTGGCTAGACAGGGGCTGCCGAAGAAGCCTTGGAAGAAGCGTAGCACGACGATGGCAGGGAAATTATTGACTGTTGCCAGGACAATGGAGATGACGAGGAAGATGGCGAAGGAGATGATATATGGTGGGTTGCGGCCGACGGAGGCAACTTCGCTTATAGGAGAGAAAAGCAATGGACCTGCCCCGTCTGTGGTTGTTTGGGATGTGTTAGACACGGAGCATCGTTTATAGCTGAAGACAATTGAACTCACATCCGATAACGTAGAGCGCGAGTACAAGAGACACAACGTGATGCGATGTCCCGAACTGCATCGTGATGCCCTCATAGCTGGGCACGACAATGGAGGAGCCACAGTATACCACAAAGGAGTAGACCCTGGAAGATGCATGGTCAGACTTTACGCGCCTGGATGCCATTGAAAGGGAAAACTAACGAGATCAAAGCTGTCACCCATGCCTTATAGAGAGTCGGCCAGTTTTGGGGATTTTCTGGGTCATCAGGGCCATCCCAATCTACCACTATTATGTCTTCGGAGCTAGAAAGAAGGTGAGCGAATGAAAGATAACAAAGAACCAATGCTAGACAGCGTCAACGTACCTTGATTCCTCTTTAGCGTACTCAATGCTAATGTCATCTTTGACCGGTGGCGGATCGGGATGAGGCATGCAATACTGCGCTACCTGTCCCACGACCGTGGTACGCAGCCAGGAAGAGAGATTCATGTTGGCTCAGGCGGAAAGATAGGTAGTCGAGGTAGTCGGCGCTGAATCGAGCTGAATGCGTGCTCAATGCCTCCCGGAACCGTGTATATATAGTAAAAACACATCTATAGACAAGGGCGACATGCCAGGTCTCGACCCACGGAACAGCGTATGCTTAGGCCTTCAAAGTCATGATTAACCTTGCTTATTAGGGCACCGAACCGGGATTACACGTGCAGGGCAAGTTTGGCCCGCCAGTCCGGAGTCGCAAAGTTAATCCGCGACATCATTGCTTCGTGCGTGGGTCCGATTTCCCAATAAGCCAACTCGCGGAGATCTCCAAAGCGTATTTCCACCGGTATTCGCATAGGCAAGATCGCGGGAAATGAAGACGAAGAGAAGGCCCACAATTATGACAGCTGACGGGGATTGGGGACCCGCCTTACAGGATGGCAGGAAAGTGACAGGCAGGGCCGAATGTTTGACGGAGGGAATCCACCTGAAGCGAAAGCTACGAATCTTCGCCGAGTCCGATGACGTTGAGTCACATGTCCACCGGATGACCTTTTGGGAAACAGCATCTCACTTTCCGTTCGCGCGACGCAACCTAAGAAGATTCTAGCTATGTCGACAGAGAAGAGGTAGTGGGGCAGCGTTCGGCAACTCCGAGCTCGTCTAATGTAGACGAGTTGGGAAAGTCGTTAGGCAAACTGCGTTCATTGTTCCTTTGTCACAGATGGGAAAAGGAAGAATCGAACACAGGTTGGCTTTTGTAAACTTTTTGTCCCATGTATCTCGCATTGGTAGTTGTCACCTGTCAGGCCATTGCTTTTGAAGGACAGGGAGTCGGACTTGAGATTGAGGCATTATATGCACTTAGTGAGATCGCTCTCGAGGTGACGGGTGATTCACTAATATCCTGAGAGCTTCAAGAGGAACCACACCAGCAGCGAAAGGGCTTCACTAGGCATAGTTTTCTTTTACGTGGCGGAGAAACTTATGCCTCTACGAGAAGTATTGAAAGAACAGACACAGAAATAATACAGAAAGAATGGCAATATCTGTGCCCCGAAAAAGCTATCCGGGCTCAATGAAGTTATGACCTCTTATTCTAGCTATTACCATGAATTTCATGATGCCCGAGAAGAACGTAGGTGATCTATGACCTACCGGGTATTGCTCTTAAAGACTCTTTTGCCGTTCCCTCTGGGAAAGCTCGTGAGGACTAGAGTAGATTAGGGACGCGCGGTAGAGTGAAAATAGTAGGATTAGTAGTTAATATGGTCTCATGGGACCTGGTCCTATTGAGACTAGAGATAATGTTACGAGATCTACCTATTCTCATAGAAAGGCCCTCGACCTGGAGAGCGATATCGCCCGGGAAATGGAGGGGGCTAGGGTTTGAGTCTAAGTGCCTACCGTATGATTGCCGCAAAAGAAGTTGAGACTATACTAATGGTTACAGCAGAAAAGAAAGAGATCGGCAGCTGTTATTATGAGTCTAATTGAAGGTAGTAAATGTTTTCATTGCAATATTATGCGTCCCATGTTTCCAAAGAACTCGGTTAGGTAAAGTCAATTTGAATGCCATGGAATACAGAATTAATGATCGCCTACCTGTAGAAAACTGTACTGAGGCTTGTATTGAACAATGTACAGCACTACTGCATTCCTGCCCAGGACGAGGAACTCATGCCTATCAGAAGTGTAGAAGATCATACCCCACAATGCTTACCTATCAGAAGTGTCACCAAAGAAAAGTGTGCCTGTAGGGTAATATCAAGAATTCTAGATGCAGCAGAGATATCACTAAGATGATATAGGAAGGTGCATTCACATGAATAGGCAATGAAGCCGGAGAGCCTACTAGTTACAGAACTTACACTTGCCAGCTAAGCTTAATTTTAGTGTTTCCTAATACTGGACTGACGGTCGGATGACATAATTTTTAGAGCCTAAGGGGCAAAATAGCATAAGTTGAGCCCCAGGAACAAACATACCTAACAAGGTAGGAGTCTTAATGGTTGGAAAATCAGTGCCAGAGGCCTTTAGGTGGTCTGTTCTGTTCAGAAAACGCGATTGGAGGAGTCCACCTTCATATTGAGTCGCTGTGAAAGACAATAAGGATGACGGTGTTGTTGTGGAGGCAATTAACAATATCTTTGAATGGTGTGAAAATTGGAAGGCTGAAAAAATACCGCCACCGAGTCGGATACCGAACTTTGTTTCCACTTTGTAGGTGGCAGCTAAAACTTTGATTTTCGAGAGTTCTCGGACATTTTGGCTTTGAGGACTTCTCCGTCAGTTATGCCTCTTCACCCAAATGTCAGAATGAGATTGAAAAAATCGTATCGTGTGAAAGTGTTTGACATAGGTTGTTGGGAATGCACATGCAAGAGTGGCGATGCTTCTGATTTACTTTGCAGCCAAAATAAATGAAACAATGTTGTTATATGTTTGTATCGCAGTATGAGTGGAACGAGAATGTGAGAACCTGGGCAAACATTTCCCCCTTATTCCAATGATAGTATTTCTTGCTGGTATGTAAGAATAAGGTTTCTAGGCAGTGCAGACTTAACTGAACGCTATACAGCTCAAGTAACACCTTCTTCTATGTCGGGATTGGGTATACCATTAAGAAATGGTCTGGAGCTCTCACCTGAACAAATTCTGATAAATATAATGGATTACTCCTCATAATTAACACGTAGCAAATTGTAGTCCTTCACCCTGTTGTTCGCTCGGAGCACTTCTTGTTGCCTATACCTGGACAGACGGGTTGTTGCATGTGCTTCCTCTTGCCCTAGTCAACAACTGTACCTCTCTTTCAATAATAACACCAGAGTATCGGCTTGACAGGCGGCTTTCATACTATTCGAGACAAGGCAAAACAGGTCATCCGATTAGCAGGCTATGAGACCGAGGCTAAGCAGTCTGGATCAGTGCATTCTGAAGAATCTGCCTCTGTCAACATCTATATCTATAATATGAAGGAAGCTGTTGGAACAATATTGTCAACCAGGCCAGAGAGGTGGAGTATCCTGACCTAATCCACATACCGCACAGCACCTTGCTTGGCCTAGACTTGGCCTACCATTCCAAATGGCATACCAAGGGATCAGGAATGCATAGGTGTAAACAAGTGGAAATATAAATAGCTAGGCAGATTGTTGTTTAGAAATGACACTTCACTTTTACCCACCGAGCATACACCTACATTCCGTTGAATCGATAGGATATCTGCTTAGGGCAATGACCAAGTCAACCGACAGAAACCTTGAACGGTGGATGCTCGGAGTGGTTTGTTTTGGGATTGAACTTATGGCATGTGATAAAGCACTCTCTAGAAAATCAGATTTAGCTGTACATGTCGCTATATAGGCCCCTCCTTTGATTATGTCTCAGGATTGTTCGATATGACACTTGAACATGTACTGTTAAAGCTCTGCTGCGTTAAATACATCACATGCTATTACCAATACCTAGTTTCAAAATAAATTATCAACTAATAAATGTTGCCTGAATGATTTATATAACGACGGAGGTGATTCACTACCCGTCAATCTCCAAATCGAAGCCTTTTATAGCCAAAAGCTAGAATAAAAGTATTGAAAGTCTCCAAAAAACAATTCCCATGGTGATCTACGTACCTGAGTTGTAGTAAGATCTTCAGGTTTCTCAAACCTCCCGACTCCTTTCGGTCTAGTATGCAGATCGATGACCGATTCTTGAGCGTTGAAACGTCCCACGTCTTATAAAAAATCGCTATACCCGTGCCCTCTGGAGCTTTATCTTTGTCCATAAGTAATTTCAGAAATTATAAACTATGAATATCACCTCAAAAAGCTGAAGCCGAGGAGTCATTAAGTGCTTCGTGATGATTTTTAGCGCAGCCAAATTAATGCACAACTACCCAAAAACCGGATATAGAAAGTCAGAGGAACATTGGAAGTGTAAAGGGAATTGAGAACATTTCACGAGTACGGCGATGAGCTCTCAATATGAGTGGTGGTATTCCTCCCACCCCTCCTTGGTTCTGAAACGCGGGTACCGAATTTTGGGTACCAAATGCCGTCAAAAGCTGTGTAGTTTAATTCATTTCCCCATATTTGGGTCTTGTCATCTGCTGTTTCAGGGGGCTACACTACCGAAGACACTCTAGTAAAAAGTGTTGATCATACCTAATTCGAGATATAATTTCTTAATATTTTCCTGGGAATTAAATAGCTCAAGAAGTTAAAGTAATTATCACCCTCGGTCCGTAACTGGAAGGGTGCACTGACCCCCCTACTTTTTGCAGTGAAGGAAAGTATTTAACTTAAAATCCTTGCCCTGATGTATCTCATAATATAATATTGCTCTAGGCCACCTCGTTGATTTGATACAACAAACTCGTCCCCTTATAAATCCTTCCACTAGTAGGTAAGTGAGCGCGAAACCCTTCATACAGCTGTTTATGCTAATATGAACAGCTACGGCGTCACTATGCGTTCCTGTATTCTCTCTACCCTCCTGCTGGCTACCGCGGCCTTCGCAATGCCTCACAGCCCGAATCAGCAGCGCAGCAAAATAAATACCGACGACATTCCCGTGGTTAATCTTGTCACTGGCCTGCTGAGAGCACTCAATGTCGACGCTGACGTATCCGTCAACCCCGATAACCTGTTGAAGAATATGAGCAAGAGCCAAGTGCATGGTCTAGCAGCATGTGCTAAGCAATATCTTCCTGAAGATGCTGCGGCTTCTGCCTCAGCGTCTGGGAAATACAGTTAAGGATCGAATAATTGAGCTCGATTTTCCTGTCGAGATGGAACATTTCCTGGTTTTAGGTTGAATTAGGACTGTGCTTTTGGAAGTGACTTATACACAGCTTGTTTTGTATATATTTTGGTATTCTGCGCTGGCTCCGAGTACAATTCTTTTCACAAAACCCACACTAATCTCATTTCTACGCCTCCCTCCCCCCCCACCCCCCCGGCCCCAGAATATATAGTTTGGTAAGTGGGCTAGCTTGACGGTTCGCCAAGAAACCGTTTAATTCAGCTACACATGTTATTTGAGATTGCTGGATTAAATTGTAATAACTAGTCACATAAAGTGTTTCTGCTGGAACCTTTGCTCCTGCTATGGTACGACGTAGAAAAATGCAAGATAGAGCATAACTGAAGAATCTTCGGTAGCTGAAATTAGTGACCATTAGGGCTGGTATGGCCTACTATTAGTGTCTTCAACCGGTGTAGTTTAACCTCGAAGATGTTTGGTTTCGATGCCAGCCTTGTCTCACCCTAGGATCGGTTTTGATGTATGGATTCCTTGTTTTTGCATTTCAATGTATCGGTAATTGATCTGTTTTGGTAGATTCACGTGACACGCTAAACCCAATAAGGGCCAGCTGAGCAATCCCTAGCCAATGAGAGATAATTCAAGTATGGTAGCGAAGACTTGCCGAACAGTTCCTGAATGTTTGGTTGGATCGGAGCCTTTAGGAAAATTGCATGAAGCTTAGAAGCGATTGCTAGCGCATTTGGTTGCTTTCACTGAAAAATGTGTAAATATCCCATCATCTCAGAGTTTTCCTTAATAGCCTCTTTTGACCTCTTCGTTTTGCTTAATTTCGCATGAATACAACCATGTCTTCTCAAATCGAAGCCCTTCCCTATGAAATTCGCCAATTCGTCTTGGAATATCTAGATGCAACCCACCCATCCAGCCTCACTGCCCTGGGCTGCGCCAGCAAGCATCTTTTTGCCGCCGTGAAGCCTTTTTTATTTCGCACAATCAAATTCTCAGTGAAGGGCATAAGGGATTCTGAGGATCTAAAGCCGGACCGTATATCAACTGCAGTCCAGGAGTACTCAAAGCTCCTTCAGCGCTATAATGGCGTTGAGCATGTCCAGCACCTCATTATTGGCGGAGATATAACACTTGGCGAATGCGACTCACGTGGTTCATCTTCCGAGTCTGATGATGATGATGATGATGAACCCTACCATTGGAGTCGATCGAAGATTTCCCACATCGATCGTTTAGCACTCGCGTCTGCGGATGGTCAACTTTGCGACGAAGAACATGTCTTCGGGAGTTCTAAGGCCAAGTTCGGCTATCCTCAAGACTGCCACAATGACGACCATGCCTGGAAACTCCTGGCAGAATTCCGTAAAACGCTTTCTAGCTTGAAACACCTGATTTACTGCTATTACAAGCAGTTTCCACCGTGTTTGCTCGAGGCATTGCATGACCACCATCTCGGATGCAAACTACACCTGTATACTTTCAAAATATTCGGGACTCCTGATAAATTGGACGACTACGGGACCAAGTTGCTCAAGTCGCCATGCCTTCACAGTATAAAGTCCGCGAGTCAGGGTGTGACTCGGTGTATGGGAAGAAGAACTATAGACGATGAAAAAAGGATATATTTAGACCACCCTGGCGATTTCGCAATGCGTCATGCCGTCGTAATCGCGCCTGCCTTGAAGAGAATTCAGGTTGATATATTGAACAGACGTGGAGCAATAAGGACACGCTATGACAGAATCTCTCCAGTTACCGTCGCTGCCCACAAAGATACCCTGAAGTCTCTGCATCCTCTTCGCATTTTCAATGACAACACCGGGACGGTAAACAGATATGTTCTAAATCTCTGGACAGCAAACGTTGATTTCGCAGAACTAAAATTTCTAGGCGTTACGATGCACACTGCTAAAGCGCTGAAATATCTGTGATCGAGCCACTTCCCCTCTCTCCGCAGCTTATTTCTAGATTATAATATGCGTGACCGTGAGCTTTCAAATTTTAACGATGGAGGCTGCAAAGGAACATTGGAAGATATCCTGTGTCGTTTGCCGCTATTGCTTTCCTTATCTCTGTCATAAATCCCGCCTGGAATGGATTTTGAACGGCTCGCAAAACAAAACGGTATCAGACTACGGAGGCTTACAATGTCCAACTCTCCTTTGAGTGAATACGACCTGAGATGCCTGGCCAGATACTGTCCTAATCTCGAATTTTTGAAATTATGCTTGACGCGATCATTGGGGAACGCGAATGGAGTTGCCCTCTACAATGCATTGGGGTCTATTCCACGGCTGGTAGATGTGGAATTGGAGCTCAACACACCCGATCGACATGTTCGGGATGAGGATCACCCAGATCCGTCTGAAGGCGGCTCATTTGAAGAATTTCATGAGAAAGACTGTATCTTACAGAAGGATGATGTGACCGAGCACATCAAAAACGGCTACGTCCGAGAAACGTTCATCAATTGTGCTCTGGACAAGGACCTAGCTTGTGCTATTTTTAGAGCCATCTCTGCGGGAAAGCCTAAAGAAATAGGTCGACCAATACAGAAACTAAATGTCAGGATGACTGGTGGAAGAATCAACGTGGGCTGGGATCAGACCAATGGCTGGTTTCAGCATGAAAAGTGTATCAACTGGCTGATACCACGGGTCAGCCAATGGTGGAAAATTGAGTGTCATCCTCGACACGATCGACAAAATGACCTGGTTATAACAAAGCTAGACGCTGAGAACCACCCAAAAAGGAACAAGCGAAGGCTTAATGAATCAATCAGCAGCGTTGAGGAAATGCTCCGGCGGCTTTGGCCGGGAATTCAAGACATGTCCGATTGGGAAAATCACTGGCATAGTTTTCCTCTAGCTGAAGTTGACAAGGAGGCCGAAAGTTAATGTCCTCACTCTCTCGCCAAACATTGCTTTCCAAATACCAATGTCTTTTGACCGACATCATATTTGGAATTATGTTTTCTCAAAGTATCGAATCTTCAGGGTCATTTGTTACCTGGTTTTGGCCCTGAAAAAATTTCGGAGATATCAAGATAAAAAGAAAAAGCAAAGTCAAAGGTTCCAGCTAAAAGTTCCTTGTCAGATGAGACATTGATAATATAATGGTTTAGTTCTTTTCTAGGACCAGTGCCCAGTCGTCATGGTCGTCCGCCTTCGGCGGCGCAAACTCCCTAATTGTTGAGTTGCTCTCGCACTGCGCATATTTTATCGAAGTATAGTCGCCAGATAGTGGATCATACCACCTAGCCTTCACGTCACAGCCCTTGATGTCCTTAGTATCAATTGAGAATTGCTTTCCTGTCGGAGTATAGACCATGATCCAGGAGCCTTTTGAATCTCGAAGAGCCTTGATTTTCTTGTCATTCAAATCTTGGGTTTCAAATCAGCCAAGTCATATCTTTGCTTATCGTCTGAGAAAAATCCCGACTTACCTGCGTTGCCAACAATTATACCAGGTGCTGGAACCCTCTCATTAAAGCTACTGTTTCCACGATCCAGAATTGCCTTCTTTACGAATTGGATCTGCTCCGAGCCCGGCAGCTTGATGGCTTCATACCAGGGCATTGCAGGCCCACCACCATTTGACTCGTAAAATGACGGATTGTACATCTGCCAGACCATGTCCGCTCCGTAAACAGCCCCTGCAGCGCCGGAAAAGACCTGATATAATGTCAACACTCTAACCGAATCGTGTGTTAGAGCAGCGAAGAAGAACGGACACTCTGCCATGTACCAACTCGTACATCACTTGCATTCCAGGACGGCAACCAGTCACGCGCATTGTTATATCGTCCCTCGTAGTGCGGTTCATTGTCTAGCGCAGGCCGCCTTTTCCCAGGTCGTGTCTCCCCAACAGCATACATCAATTCGACCGTCTCGTAACCGCGTCTGCAATTCCACCAATGGACTGGCGGATTGGGAGGATAGTCACTATGACCGGACTGTGCAATATCAAAAGTCAGCCAGTCGCGATGACCGGCTTCCGAGCTTGCGAGCGCCAAGGGCGCCCCGTCGAACCATTGGTTCTGGTTATGGAGGCTGATCAAGGGTGTGTATTTCGTACTGGCAGTACTATTCCGTATAGCAGCCTTTTCGCCTCGAATGAGCCCTTCCGCTAGGGCGTCGTATACAGGCAGCCAGTCGGTCATCTCATATTCCGATGGAACACCACCGGCTGCGTATTCCTCCTTGACCTGCGTTTTGTTCTGCCATGTCGGATTTGTATCCCCGAACATAATCTTAGGGAGATATGGATTTCTTCTTCCGATGAATTCGCCCAGAATGCCCGCATTGCTTGTGTTGAGAGACCCGGCAACGTTCTCACTATTGTGCACGTAGTTCCCCCACGCGGGAAATAGGGCTATCCGGATCCCGTGCCTCTTCCATGCCAATTCGATCACCGAGTCCACGTGATTCCAGTATGCTTCGTTGGGCTGGTGGACGTCCATGTTGATGAATGCCGGATCGCCCTGTCTGTTTAGACCATCTAGACCATCAGATGATGGCCCGATTGCTTCTACAATGTTGAAACCCTTAGAGGCGCGGTCAGCCAGGTATGCCTCGGTTTCGGTGAAATTGAGTCGCGCCATGAGAGTCCATGCTGTATCGGCTTGCCAGAAGAATGGCGATCCGTCGGAGAGTTGGAAGAAGTGTCCATTGTCTGAGGTGTAAAGTGCATATTCGGGTGGTGGGGACCAGGACGCATGGGATAGCCCGGAGAGGAGATAGAGAGTGTATAAGGTGGCACGTTTTGTTTTCATGTCGCCCGGATTCTTGAGGACTCGTCGAAACTGGATTGAGGTCGACTAGGAGCAAGATTCGTTCTGACGAAACCCCTTTCTCGGTCTTAAATAGTTTTTCTAGAAAGGGATTTAGTATCAGGGACCTTGTGAGGGGATGCTGATCTATCATAGCGATTAGGATGCGCTAGTTCTACCATTGGTGGAATAAACACAATAGTCTAGGGCCTACTACGTCAACAAGCCTTGAATTGGTGTTTTAGTGCCTGTGAAATTTTTCCGAATACTACACTGACGCCTGAAGAACCGCTAACGCTTATTAAATATACGACATTATCCCTAAGGTTCATATTTCAAGCTCCCAAATTTTAATCAGGATGACATCACCCAAAAATGCCTCGACGTTGCGATAGAAGTGACCCCATCTATGTAGTTACTAATCTTTCTTGACTATTAGATAGTCCAGGTGCATTCGATATGCGATTCCAATCTGGAGAACTGCGATAAAGATTTTGGCGTAAGATATCAACGAAAATGTGATTCTCTCTTCTGCCCACCAATTTGTTAGATGTTGGACGAAGCAATTATAACGAAGTTGAGATCAATTTGACTGAGAGGAAAGTCTAGCCAAACGCCAAATGCCTATGGTGTACAAATTTCCAAGATAAAAAAATGCAGTCACTTCGTGGCCTCAACATGCTCTCCATCACCGCTACCCTTCCACCATCGCCATATCGCTCGACAATAGACATATGTTTCCATGGTGCCGAAAATACCCAAAAGAACCATGAGGAATATTTTCATATTTTTGCTCAGGCCTAATGAGTCCAGATTCAGGGCGGGTAATTCCGGGGCGCTTTCGACGGGTTCTTTCTGCGCTGCAACCTTAGACTGAAATCGAGGGGGTGATGCAGGTTGTTTGTTTAGAAGAACATTCTGAGTCGAGAAAGTCTGACGAGAGAGTATTGGGGGCGCGAATTGCGTCCCACGCTGGGTCAAGAGAAGTCCATTCCTGCGGAAGAGAGCCCTGGTGTATAGCTGAAGAGGTCTGGACGCTAGCGACATGGACGTGGATGTTTGTAGAAACTGGGGGTCTTAGGTAGACTTTCTGTGTTTTTGGAAATGGTGTCTTGATAGAGACTAAGAGACATGAGAGAATGGCGCTGAGTAAATACCTTTTGAGTCATTCTGAGTAGTCTGAAGAACGCGGTTTCGCCCGATGCAGCTGACCTTCTCGTGTTCCTCTTGCGCCGATCTTGGCCGAGAATGGGCAAAACACTACAGGTTGCGATGCCTCGGCCATCTTGCCCTCATTCATGCAATAACTGATCTAGGAAATGATTATGGCTACAACAGGGACTGCAAAAATCAAGAAGAGACAGATATGACTCAAACATGATAGCCCTGAAACTGGATGAGAGTCGATACTGGGTTTCATGTGTGCATTACGCATGACGTCATCGGATATACTATCTAAAAGCTCAAGCTTTACCTGGCTTTAGGTGTTACATCAATAATTGTCATTATGAAGAGATTTCAAAACATAATAATAGATGATAATAAACGTGAGGTTTATCCGTTAACCACTACTCCGCCGTTGGGATGCAAACTCTGCCCTGAGATGTAGCTGCTGTCCTGGCTAGCCAAGAACACAAAACAAGTGGCGATCTCACTTGGCTGTGCAGGTCTACCAATAGGAACGCCATGGAATTGGTCCATGGCCTCTGAAGTCATCGTCGCCGGAATGAGGGGAGTCCATACTAGCAAGGAAATCGCATTAGCACCGGAGCTCCAACCCCTCTGAAAGAAAGACCGATATACATACCTGGACCTGGGCAGACAGCATTGACTCGGATGCCCTTGCTGATCACTTGGTTGGACAGACCTCTCGTGAATGAGATAATGGCTCCCTTGGTGGAGGTGTAGTCTAGCAGATCGGGACGACCGATGTATGCGTTGATGGAAGCACAGTTGATGATGGCCGAGCCATTGTGCAGGTGGGGAAGGGCGTATTTAGACAAGTAAAAGTAAGGATGAATATTCACATCAAAGGTACGTTCCCATTGATCCCTGGAGTCGTGCCGCATTAACAAAAGCATCGCAGTTTAAAGCAGAGTCGACATACTCAGTTAAATCATGGATGTCCGGGATCATGTTCTGGTAGGCCGCGTTGTTGACCAGAATGTCAATTCCCCCAAGGGTTTTTTGAGCGTGATCAACCACTTTCTGACAGTTCTCCCTCTTTGTCAGGTCGATTGCCAATAGGTGACATTGGCGACCGGCTTCTTCCACTCGCTTCTTAGTATCCTGGGCATCCTTCTCCTCCTCGGGCAAGTATACAATCAAGCTTGAAGCTCCCTCTAGAGCGTACAGGATGGCGATGGCTCGACCAATTCCTGAATCACCGCCTGTGATAATCGCTCTTTTACCTTCTAGCTTATTCGCCGCCTTGTATGTCTGATACCCGTTGTCTTCGGTGGGAATTTGTGTGGAGGTCGGCTTGGGACCGGCCATCTGAGCCTGGAGACCCGGTTGTTGCTGGTGCTGGATGGGGACCTTGTGACCTTAAGAACTGTTAGTATTATATTGAATATATGTTGAAAGTGGAGAAGGCAACTAGAAGACAATACCAGGCTGGAATTGGGACTGTGGCCCTTGGGTTGATCGCTCGGTGTGTTCCTCCATTGTGATAACTGGTAATGAAGAGCTGCAGATTAACACGATATGATACTTTATGATCCTATCTGACCGCGAGTTGTTTGGATAGTTCAGTTATAAATGCTGTATGCATCACTCGGGGTATGACGTTAACATGATGGCATCTCTATCAGACCGTGAAAAGCGGAACATGGCATCATAAACATCATCAATGTCACCCTGATCTCATTCTTCTATAATTGCAGGTTTCACAGGATTAATCGCCCTTGCTATACTTTATTTTCGTTTATCTCAAATCGACAAAGCTGGTTCGTGTCTGCGGGCTTTGTTCTATCCGCCCCACCAGGCCCGTTTCGCGCATCATCTCGAAGAACCACAGCAAAATCGCGCCCAAGAAGGCGAAAATCTTCACGACTCGTCATTTGCACGAGATTATATGCATAGAGAATTATAATTCTTTGTAGTAATGTGCATGGAGCATAGTTGTAGCCCGGACAGATGTTTCCAGAACCGAAAACTATTTAAGTTGACAACTCATGCGAAACTGGATGGATCAAAGACAGACTTACGCGCATTGTGCAGCTTTCAAAGTAGATTCGGCTTGAATGGTGTACAAAGGCGGATTGCCACTCACAAAGGCAGATTCTAACAGTTCCTACAAAATAGATCTATATAAACAAGGATGAATAGAACGAACATTCTTGATCTCTATTTAGGTGTGAAAGGGCGTTGCTCTCATGGGAGATCATGTGGTTATAAGGGCCATCTACCATAATAGCTTCTCTCAAAGCCCGCAGGATGTCCGGTAGTAAAGAAAGATCCTGGTGTGTTAGAAAACAAGTCGCATAGGGGCTTACTACGGAAAGTGTACATATCTGATTAGATGTTAGCAGCAAAAGGACTGAAAGTAGATTAAGGTTGGGCTAGAACATCGATCTCAGCGGAAAGGTAGCGATGTCCACCAAATCAAAGCCAAGGCAACGGGGAGGCCGACTAGCCTCGTAAAAGCTTAGCCAAAGAAGGTTGGCTCTAGGCGGACGAACCTGATATTCCCTCTGATTCATCAACGATCAAAACAGCTGGTTTACTAATGATTCTGGAAGACCTGGCCCCAATCGGAATACACTGCTCCGCAATCGGATTTAAATGTAGATACACCCCGCGAAAGATGGCGTTGAGAATTTTCTATCAAGAAGACATCCCCGAATAATAGTAAAATGACCCAATCTCGCGCCAGTCTAATTTAATCAATATATGACGAGCGGCGCGACACATACGATGATTCATTTCACGACCTCTTAGCGGACGATTACATCCGTGTCGGCGAACCAAAATAAGGCGAATCTGTCGTTGACCTAGCATGCGGCACCGGCCTAGTAGCTCTGCAGGCCTCGCAGCCCGTCGGTAAATCGGGCCGTGTCGTCGGTATCGATATCAGCGATGGCATGTTAGAAGTTGGCCGTCGAAAAGCCGAGCGTCCGGGTCTCAATGTCCCCTTCATTCAGCATGATATCTCCGATCTCACTGGGCTGGAACTTCTCCCCAACGGCTCTCAGGGCTTCGACCTGATCACGTGTGCCACGGCTTTGGTGCTTCTTCCCGATCCTGCCAAGGCGATCAAGCATTGGAGTACATTGTTGAAACCGGGCGGACGGTTGGTCACTGATGTGGCGGCAAAAGATGTTAATGTGCCGAGTCGACTGTTTACACAGATTGGACGAAAACTTGGCAAGCTCCAGTGGGACCAAAGCTGGGTACAATCAGAGAAATCTTCGGCAAAGCTATTGTGGGACTCTAGGTTGCGCGTGGAAACCGTGTTCTTGACCAAATGCTACCAGACGCGGGAATATACGACTCAGAAGGCGCCCGAGACGTTTGAACAGGCGGTTGCGAGTCCTATGTATAGGAACTTTGGAGAGCCTTCTGTCCGGGAAGAAGCAAAGAGACTGTTTGTGGAGGCATTCGAACAGGAGGCCGGGGCCGAAGGGGTTTTGTTAGATGAGGCCAAGATGTATATGGCTGTTGCCTACAAACTATAAACCAATAGGTTAGGGGCGGAAGGAATTGATCGTATGAAGCTCGCTGGTGCGCTGGGTATTAATTCTACTGAACTACGTTTGGCTTGCGACGGACAGGGGTCTGTGACTTCCACTCCATCCTCTTTTACTACTAGGGAGTTATCCGCGTCCCTAAATCAAATCATAACATATTTTTTCAACTACATTTTTTCCCCCTCCGTTCTTAAATGGTTCGGGGTTTACCAACCTTGAAGGTCTCCAAGGTTCGTAAACGTTCTATGTTCCGGAAGCACCCCTTCGCTACCTGATTAAAGACCAAAACTCAATCTGTCACCGTAATTCATTCTACTCCCCTCAGTTATCAATGCCGGTCCCGCCGATTGGTCGCATGCTGCAAAATGGGGCCAGTTTAGCGCGGGGAAGAGCGGCAATCAACAGTATGAGATATGCAGCCTGAGCCGAAGACAAGGAACTAGATATGCAATATTTGAACACCATTTTAGTAAAGAGTCTTGGGAGCTTACGGTGTACTACTAGTAGGTGGTGCGATGTGTTCGCTTCCGATACTGTAGATCAATTGAATCGTCCTTGATGGGTTGGGGGCCTGCTCAACCCCTGTGCGAAAAAATTTAGTTAAGCTCTCGGGGTGGGAGAGATACAAGATAGGGTATATACTCCTGCAGCCACAAATCCTGGAAGTTGAGGAGCCATACTACGGTGTAGATGAATTAAATGATCGCCACTGAATTCCCTTTTGCAGATCGGATTACCCACAATTTCTTGAGCCGAGGACAAAAGAAAACCGCGTCAGCACCACGCACATAATATTTTAGGAAGAGAGTTGCTTTGTTGGGTCAATGCACAGGGCATGCTGCCAGTGACAACCGCAGCCCAATAATATTAAAAAAAATCTTTTTCACCTAATACTAAAGTTAGCTTGATGGGGCTAAACTTTGATTTCTGACACTAGAGAAGTGACAAGAGCTGCATCTGGCTGGTTCAGGTAGGACTTTGATTGAACCATCTAGACCTGTTTCATAATGGAGTTACACTCACACTAGTTCCTACCTATAGAATAGACCACATACTTTATCATTTAGCTATCTTTCGGCCGTAGTGCAACCCATGGATTGTTGTCTAAGCTTAAACCAGTAATCACTAGAGCAGGGGTGCATTGCCCCCCGATGCATTGCAACGTCGGCTCGAAGAGAGAGAATTCTTACATTTGCTCCAAGAAAGATAGGATTTTCAACTGTTATATGCTTAGAACGACAAAAGTACAAACCCATGAAGATCGATCATCTCCAACCCCAGCTGTCAACGGCCCAACCCGCCAAGGATCATCAAAAATAAACCATAATAGCATACGGACCAGACCCGTTATTGTTTGCTTCTCCCACCCGTGGATCTACAAAATATCCCAATCAAGTTTACTACTCGCGTGCTCCACCAAGCCGTCACTTTTCTAGTCTGGCTCGATAGTAGCGACTGTCTCCAACATGCATCCATCACGCAGCGGACTCACCCGAGAGATCCAGGCACTGGATACTGTAAATTATGTTGGAACCAATTGGAAAAATCGCGCAGAGCCTCTGTTTAACGTACGATGTGGGGTGGATAGCTGAGAGTTGAGAAAAAGCTTTATGTATATATCTATATAAATATTGGATTGATAGAAGCCTATGAATTGCCAGCACAATCTTCTTATCTGAGCATTAACAACTCATCCGACGGCAAAATGACACCAATGAAGAATCATAACTTCCATAACAGTTCTAGCACCATCGCCACTAGGTCTTTTGTCTCCACCGACAATTCACGCCGCGGATTGAGACTCGAAGGCGAGGTGTTTTCCCCCCATCGAGAGCGTAACACCGCCTGGACACCTGAGACCGACCTCCCACCTCGCTTGCCGCCATTACTGCATTCTAATCGAAACGCTGCCCAAGGCTCCCTAGGATGGCATGGTGTTACACGAAAGCTGAATCCCTCGTTCGGCTCAAAAGTCAAAGCCATTGGGGCGGAGAATGGCGTCTCTGAGGCTGCGTTTTATCTGACTGGGCTTAGTGTGATGATCAGCCGCATTTTGGAGATCGATGCCGAATTCTGTATTGCGGTAGATGCTCCCAAGACGTGTGTGGTGCCGGTAAGGTTGCATCCAGGCCTGATTCAGAGTGTTCAATGTGCCCTGAAGGATACGGAAAAGTGGTTGAACAGAGCCTTGAATCATCGTACCAGTGGCCAGTCTCGAGAAAACGAGGGCTCGTTCTCGACGATTACATTCCACCACAGAATTGGTGGCGCATCCCAGGAGATTGTCGAGGCTGTGCCTTCCGGCAAAGACACGAATCAAGGGAGCGTTGAAATAAATGTGAGCATAAGAGAGTGCTCTCTGGGTGGGTCGGCAACAGTTACCTTTCATGTTACCAAGTCGCTTTATTCTCAGCATGATGCTGAGCTCTTGACCGACTGCTTTATACATGTTCTTCACGGCATGGAAATCAATATAACATCGCCATTAATTGAATGTGCTCTATACGACCAAAGAGAGGTCTGGGGACATCTAGAAGTAGGCCGAGGTCAACGAATCAACCATGCATGGCCACCGACACTCGTTCACAAAATCGACCAAATCGTTGCATCCCAGCCGGATGCGATTGCAATTGAAGACGACGCAGGAAATGCATGGACCTACCTCCAGCTTTCCAACCGAGTGCAATTATTAGCACGAACCTTCTTGGACGTCGGTGTTACGGCTGGCTCGACAGTTGCCGTCTTCTGTGAACCCGGTTTCGATAGCATCTATGCACTGCTAGCAATTACGCGCATCGCTGCTATCTATGTTCCGCTGGACTTGAACCACCCAATGGAACGGCTCGCTCTGATTGTGGATGACAGCAAGCCCCACACTATCATCACCCATGCATCAACTCATGAGAAGGTCAATGCGCTTCAACACTCTGCCAACGTGATAGACGTTACCAGTCTACCCAGTACATCAGAGCCAGTCCCAATCACATGTTCTTCGTCGGACGCCGCATTCGTCCTTTACACAAGTGGTTCAACTGGTCGTCCGAAGGGGGTGCTCTTGAGCCATGGAAACTTCCTGGGCCAGATCGCCTCCGTCCAAGGCGAATACGACCTAAACAGGGAGCGTGTTCTGCAGCAAAGTTCTCTCGGATTTGACGTGTCGCTGCATCAAACTTTCGTGGCTCTTACGACGGGAGGAGCCTTGGTTATAGCGACAAATGCTATTCGCCGTGAACCAAGTCAACTGGCTGAGCTTATGAGAGCGACAAGAGTGACTTTTACATTGGGTGTGCCTTCCGAATATGCCATTCTTCTGCGGTATGGAGAGTGTCATTTACAGCAATGTCCGGATTGGCGATATGCTGTATGTGGAGGCGAGCGAATGACGGTCTCGCTTAAACGCGCTTTTCGGAAACTGGGGAAGACAGGACCAACACTCTTGAGTTGCTACGGTCCTACAGAAGTCTCGCTGGCTTCATCATATGGTGTTCTTTCATATACCGACCCCGCGGCTGGATCCGAAGACGAGAATAGCCCCGTGGGATTTACTCTGCCAAATTACGCGGTCTACATTCTGGACAAGGAACGGAATCCCGTCCCAACCGGCTTTCCAGGAGAGGTATACGTTTCCGGCGTCGGCGTCGCAATGGAATACTTGAACGACGAGGCCCGCACGAAGGAGCGATTTCTGCCCGATCCCTTCGATCACGAGGGAAAGAGCCAGATGTACCGCACTGGGGATCGAGGACGTCTTCTACCTGATGGATCACTTGCTTTCCTGGGTCGTATGGAGGGTGACTTTCAGATTAAGCTCCGCGGAATACGGATTGAACCGGATGAGATTGCAAGTACCATCGTTGCTGCATCGAAAGGGGTGCTCCGTCAAGTGGCTGTCGTGCTTCGTGGCACCGAGAATAAATACCTCCTTGCGTTTGTCGTATTCGCAAAAACATGGCTTGGAAATCGAGAGCGTTATCTAGCGGGTCTTCTGGAAAGACTGCCGTTTGCGCCGTCAATGAGACCCGCTAACCTCATCCCATTGGATAGACTTCCTACCAATGTCAATGGCAAACTGGATCGGCGAGCGCTAGATGTCTTGGTAATCCCGAGTACTCAGGTGAACAGTAGCCGGTCCTTGAAACAGAGTTGCAATGATATCGAAACTAGACTGAGCAGGGTGTGGAAGACAGTCCTGGCCGAGTCTAACGGCACAGACACATTCGAGATTGGAGCGGACTCGGATTTCTTCCAGGTCGGTGGGAACTCGCTTCTTCTTGTGAGGCTACAGGCTGCTATGGCCCAGGCCTTCGATGTTACAATTCCCATCAGAGAGTTGTTCCAAATCAGTGTACTACGACACATGAGTGCGCGTCTCACTTCGAGGCAAGCCGAAACGAAGGAAATAGATTGGAATGAAGAGGTCCGAATGCATCTACAGCATTTGAACGACCCTCTTCCATGTCTATCCAATAACTACCTGTCGCAGCAAGGATCACAAGTTCTCCTCACGGGCGCAACTGGGTTCCTGGGAAAATACATCCTGAGTATCTTAGTCGACGACCCCAAAGTCCATACTATCCACTGCGTTGCAGTCCGTCAACATAATATTTCATCAAAGGGGAGCCTGTTCGGAATATCGTCCCCGAAGATCCAGGTCTGGCCAGGTGACCTCTCCAAGCCCTACCTAGGACTCATGGCTTCCACATTCACCCGTCTGGCTCAATCAATCGATCTGATCATCCACAACGGAGCGGACGTTTCTTTCCTCAAGACCTATCATAGTCTCCGTTCGCCAAATGTCCAATCAACCGTTGAGTTAGGAAGAATGGCCCTAGCCAAGGGTATCCCTCTGCATTTTATCTCATCTGGCGGAGTCCTGCGTCTTGTCTCTCCTAGCTCATGCTCTACTCCAGGATCTGAGGATAGTGATCGCTCTGGCTATTATTCTAGCTCAGAAAGCAGCATTGAGGGCTTTGCTGACAGCTCAATCTACGATCCACCGACCGACGGCTCGGACGGCTACATTGCAAGTAAATGGGTCAGCGAGCAAATCCTGACGCAAGGACGCTCATTCGGTCTGCGATACCATATTCACCGACCCAAAACGATGGTTGGTGAGGGGGTGCCAAGTACAGACCTTCTGGATAATGTCCTGCGATTCTCTCGCCTTTTGAAAGCTGTCCCACAGTTCGATAGCTTAGACGGAATTATCGACATGATTTCTGTCAAGGATGTCGCTAGAGATGTTATAGTTTCCGCTCGAGAGGAAGTAGCCAGTGGAATCACGCACTATTCTGGGACGCAGGTGTCTATTTCCGACCTGGCTGGATACATATCCGAGACCGCGGAGCCGTTGAAGTCGCTGGAAATGAGTGAATGGGTCCACCAAGCTACCACTGTCGGTCTTAACTCTCAGGTCGCATCGATCTTGCTCACGGAGGAGGGCCGAAAGGGTCATGGGTTGATCATCCCACAGCCATGATACACTTACCCAACAAGTAAAAGTTACTTCATACAATAAATCTCAATATATACAATATCGTATTAAACCACAGCACTATACTATACAGCCAACACCTAGGTAGTTCATTCCCACGCTTCCATTTTGAGATATACCAGCAAACTCCAACCCTACCCTACCGATATTCATGTAACTCAATACTCTGCCGTACGCGAATCCCCTCAATCCCGGCCTCGCTCTCATGATCGTCCGACACCCCCGCCTGCACCGTTGTCTGGTTCAACGCTTTCATAGACCCCGCGTCATCAAGACGCACAAAGAGTTGTGGATCAACAGAGTGTGTCGAGCTTTTGGGGTATCCAGAGACTGATTTCGTTCTACTTCTGGTTGCCGTGGTGAGCGAGAATTTTCGGGGGAGGAGATACGAGAGGACAGGGCGGAGAGTCGGGAGGCATGCGCAGATTACGGCGACGGAGGGCTCGACCACGGTCCAGATTAGGGCGTCGAGGTAGACCCCTGGATCTGAGGGTTAGTTGGGGATTCGAGAGGGGAAAGGGGGGGAGGAACGAACATGTTAAATCGGGGTCGTCGACGTGGAGGATCGAGACGAGGAGACGCATTAGAGCCGTTACGCAGGCGCTGTTCGGGGTATTAGTATCTTTTGATCTCGTAGTACATACCAGATGAAAGGCCAGGAGGGTATAGGAGGAACACATACAAAGAGCCTAATAGAAAAATGAATGTCAACGCGATCTTCTGGGTTCCCGTTAAGGTCAACCGCCAGATCATATGTATGGGCAACACGAGAATAAACACGTCAAGTACGATGTTCACCACCGCATATCCGATATCGTAATCCAGAAGACTCATGCATTTCCTGCCCGGTAGGTCCGTGAACCAATAGCCCTGAACCGGAACGCAGGTGAAAATCCCCGATATGGACATGCCGATCCACCAGGCGATGTTAATACAGACGAGCCAGAACACGACTCTCCGGAAAAGCGAAGTGTCAAATATACGTCGGTAGAGAAGCAGAAGGGAGATTTTGATGGTGGGCCCTGTCGCGATGTAGATCTGGTTAAATGCGAAGAGTGTCTTCCAGAATTTGACGTATGGGAAGCTGTCTTGAATCGGTTCGAGGTGCTTTCCTACGCCGTATTCAACGCCTTTATTTCGGCTGCGTTAGTTGGACTGGTGATGGGATAGAGGGAACAGAGAGGCGGGCATACATAATGTTGCGCACACTGCGCATCCCCAGGCGAGGAGCTATCGGTTTTGTCATTATGAGCGCTTCTTTTCTGATATGTCTGACTGGGTCACACTCACCAATCCAGCGATCGCCATAAAGTCGTCCATCAGCCATGGCTGATTTTTGATGCGACGAGATACGAGCCTGCCTACGACAGCTAACGTAGCCACCGTCGCAACGGGGAATACACTGCTGATGAGGACAGGACCACGATTGGCGTGCAGGTCCATGATTGCTGTCTTCAGTCCGGAGCTACGCACATGGTAAGTAAAAATAAATGGAGGGTCAGACAAATTGGAACTGCGGGCTGAACGGGCTGGCTTTTGCAGGGCTACAGGCGCTTTAGCTGAAAGCCCCCGGTCGGAAATTAAAGAAAGTCGGCATTGACATGACAAGGATGCTTCGTACTCTGATAATCAGCGAACCGGGGGGTCAGGCCAAATGGTTCTACAGGGTCAAAGGGGAAGAAAATGAAGACAAGACTTCGATATTACATGGAATCGGCCAAAGGAACGAAAAATCCTGCACAGGATTGCACTCAGACAGGGAAAGTCATCCTTTCCTGTCTCTTTCCCTCCGTCGAATCGGTCGGAATCCATTCCTCACGGCAGGATGACACCCCGGTCGTGCTATCGGTCAGGATTCCAAGCAGGGCTCCGAAGGAGGCAATGCGGACCACGGCCAAGAGGAGTGGTGTTTCAGCGCCGATGGTGGCCACTGTTGTGCAAGGGTTAGGGTCGGCTGGAGGAAGTGAACCGTCATCCTATAGAACTCCAGGATACGTGCCGATCACTTTTAGCATGTGCTGTTGTGACGCCCACCAAAGAATGTGACTGGGAGGGTTCAGAGGCAGTTACTGGGATTGCAGTCCTCTTCTCCTCACATTGCGGCCAAGATAAACCAGCGCTTAGTGCAGTGGAGCAAGGTTGATCCTCCCGTGCTTCCGGAGGGGCTAGTTGATGGATCCACGTTGCACTGGCAGGTTCTAAGCCGGGCATCCCAGGCTAGCCCAGCTGTACGTTTGTCTTCTACTCCGGTCTACGTTCACGAGGTTGCACAGAAAAATGGTCTGATTTCTGTAGGGAGTGGAGTCCTGCGGGACTTTCTTCCTGCCAGCGAGGGCCAATTTGAGATACTTGGTGCTGCACAGGCTCAACTCTCCTCCTAATGCTACTTTACTATACACAACTAGCCAGCTAGACAAGTAAGCTAATTCTGGGCAATCGTACTTTTTGAGCCCTTTTCATCGCAGCTCACATCCCCGGGAACCACCACCTTCTCCTCCTGACCGTAGTTTGTTGGTCGCACGCAGAACCAAGTCACGAAGACCATGCACACCAATCCCACCCCTTGCAGGGCGAACGTCCAAGCAACCACATAAATCTGGTCCAAACCCGCAGCTTCGGTGCCAAAGGTAGCGCAAAGTCCACCGGCCAAACAGCCTTTCGCAAACCCCGCAAAGCGGGCAAGTGTTTCGGGGTCGTTACTCAGGGAGGCAACGATCCACTGCACCACCACTTGATACTATAATTTGTTGAAAAAACAGTTAGCTTTTCTGATTTCGATTTTTTTTTCTCTTTTCTTGGCGCCGTTTTGTTGGGAAATGGGCTGTGAAGGCGAACTGCAGAATACAACGTGGGGGCTAGAGAGCACTTACAGCAACCATATTGATCCCAAACAACAACGTCAGGACGATGAATCCGCCGAACGGGCCGTCCGTCCAGTCCCACAGTGGAGGAGTCGTTAGATCGATGGGATGTTGTGACAACCACACGCAGAGGCCGATCCACAGTCCGAGCGTGAAAAGGCCCATCACGGCGATTGAAAGGAGGCCTCGTGCGCGTCGAGTGCCGATCCTCTGACTATCCAACAACGCCATCGTCCCTACGGCCCCGACGGCCTGCAGGATAACGAAAACAACCGAGTTGAGACTGCGCGTGCGGATGTTGAAATAGAGGGCTGCGGACTGTTAGTTTCCCCTGGACAAGTGGTTGGAAATGGGGCGAAGGGAAAGACACGTACAGTTAATGGACGAAAATGCGATAATCGCCACCTCGGAGCCGAACATGGGCAAGAGAAGCGCTAGCATGCGCCAGTCCATGATGATCTGGCGTTGGCCCTTGAGTTCTTCCCACACGCCGCGGTGAGGGTAGTGTGCGATGGGCGAGCCATCAGCGCGACGCACGTCAGCAGGAGAAATGATGCCGAAGAGCGCGACAGGCAGCGAGAGAGCCATCAGAATGATGAACACGATGTATACAGAGTCGGGACATTTAAGCTCCCCGGCGTTGAAGTTGATGCCGAAGGCCACGAACGAGGCAATGGTGCCTGAAAATTAGCATCGCTTCGGTTTTTGCTTCCATCGGGGGATTCAAATCTTGGGGAGACGTACTGCCAACACTGAGAAGACCCCATTGCATGGAGATATAAGTCCCCTTCTTGTCTTCGGTCGCATAACTGAAGGCGATGAATCCGGCCGCTGTCCAAAGATGGACGGCCGTGAGACCCAATATCGCGCCGCCGAAGATTGGGAACCACAGGTTTCCCGTATTGCTGACTGTTGTAGTTCAGGTAAGTATTTGCTGGAAGATTGCCATCTCAACTAGCTGCCTAGACAAACACATACAGTACCACAAGGAACCGACGTAGATAGGATACCCCAAAGTGCCAAAGACCAGGGTGTATTTAGGGCCGACGGTAGTCACCACGGAGCCGCTGAAAAGGCCCACGACGAAGTAAATACTGCCCAGAAATTAGCTGACTAGGATCTGAGAACCAGGATATGCTTCTAGACGCACGCGTAAAGAACCGAGTTCACGATGTTCTGCATCTTCGTGGCATTGGCGGGCCCGCCGCCTGCCCCCAGGTTGGTGACAGCGACACTTCGGCGGTTAGAGACGTCGAACTATTGGCGACGATAGCAATCACAGTGGTACTTACTAAAGCCCCGGTCCTAGTCCGACCACGATCGAGGCAAGGAGGTTCTGCACGAACGGACTAGGGTCGGTTAGCATTGCTTCTCGTGATCTCGAGCTTCAATAGTCAAGACTCACCTATTTAATCTGCCCAGCTGCATGGTCACAAGCGAGGTAGTAGCGAGCAGGAAGTAAGAGGGTCTAGAAAGGCAAAGGAAGGCACAAGACGGCAAGGACGACAGTAGATATGCTGCTACAGGGTATCAGACTCGTGGCAAGTGGCATGAGCAGGGTTATCTCGACAATTGGCCCTCATTGGACCGAAGCCCAATACGCCGGAATCCTTTGGTCGGGGCAATTAAAACAAATGGCTCACTAATCACCACTTAATGTAACCCGCAGGGGTTGAATCCTGCCGAGAGTGGCTACTTGGAGCTTTAGACTATCGCTAAACCCGTGGGACAATTAACCCGAATAGAGGACGGAAATAAAATAAAAAGAGAACAGAAACACGTTTCGTATTCATCCTACCCTAAACCATTTCCCCTGATTCCCTTACCTACCTTACTATCTCCGTGTCCGTGTAAATGGCCGCATCGCATATTATCGGATACGCCGACCCTTTGACGGCCTCGCCTGGCCAGACCGTCGCCATCCACGTCTCCTGCCACCGCGAGAAATACACCAGTGAACTAGTCCGTCTAGGCCCCGGCCAGCTCAACCATCCTGACGCTCCGCCCGAGGATCGTCGTCGCGTAGACTCCCTTGCGCCCGTCTCCCACGCCGGACGCCCTCAGTTCTCCCGTCCAGGATCGTTTGCATCGGTGCCCTGGAAAGGAGAGCTTCTAGACCAAAAGGATGCAGTAACCGTGTCTTTCTGGGCACAGCCCACGCTCCCACGTGCTGGCCATGAACAGTATCTCTTTTCGTCCCTCGACCCGAACGGCCTAGCGGGATTAGCAGCATTGATCGACAAGGAGGGAACGCTCGTTTTGTGTTCCGGAGGCTTCGATGGTATACAGCGTGTTACATCGTCAATCATCCTGGAGCGTGGGTGGTGGTATCGTCTAGTTCTCAGTTGGGATTCATCATCCAACGTTGTCGGCGCCGACGTGCAAGCCAAGGCCGGCGATGTCGGACAGGCTTCCACCTCAAAGGCCGAGAGCCACCCCGTCAAGCCAATGCAACTGGTGTCATCGCAGAAGTTGACAATTGCCAGTCATTCCAGTGCGGATCGCGTGGCTCCCCACCCGCTGCCGTCCTCCAGTTTCAACGGCAAGATCGACGGCTTCCTCGTGGAGGTCGGATCGCAGCGCATTCTCGACCTAGATTTCAGCAAAGACATCCCCACGGACTCTCTGCGTGATCTTTCTCCTCGTGCTACCCATGGAGTGGTCGTTAATTCCCCCGCCCGTGCAGTGACTAGTCATGATTGGAATGCTCGCGACGTGGACTGGACTCGCGCCAAGTATGGTTACGGTGCGATTCACTTCCACGATGACGATCTAGACGACGCAGCGTGGGAAAAAGACTTCGACCTCAAGCTTCCTGGAAATCTTCATTCGGGGTGCTACGGCGTTGTCATATCAGATGGCGAGACCGAAGATATCATTCCGGTCTTCGTTCGACCTGATCTATCGAAGTCGTCCAACCCCCCGGTTGCTCTGATCATGCCCACCTTCACCTATACGGCGTACGCGAACGATCGTATGTACGACACATCTCGTGATGTGCACATCGACATCCCTGGGTCCGACTCCGTAACGAAGAGTCGTCACATTCAGATCCTCGAGGCCCGACCGGATCTAGGGATCTCGCTGTATGACAGCCACAACGATGGCTCTGGCACCACGCACTCCTCGACCAAGCGAGTTGTTCTCAACATGAGACCCGAGTAAGAATCGTCTATCCCCTTTTCCAAGACACCTTCACGTCTAACACATTACCCAACAGCTACTTCCACTGGGGCTTTGGCGGACCTCGTGAATTCCCAGCCGACCTGTGGTTTGTCGGCTTCTTAGACAGAGAACTCGGTCGCGACAACTACGACATCATCACCGACCACGACCTCTCCATATACGGACCCTCTCTCCTTCTCCGCTACTCCGTCGCTCTCTCCTGCAGCCACCCAGAATACCCGACCTTCGCCATGCTCGACACCTACGACGCCTTCCTCGCCCAAGGCGGCTTCTTCCTCTACCTTGGCGGCAACGGCTACTACTGGGTAACAGGGCATCAAGCCTCCCAACCCCATCGTATCGAAGTCCGTCGCGCCGACCAAGGCTGCCGCACCTTCAACCTACCCCCAGGACACTGGCATCTCTCCAGCACCGGCGAACTAGGCGGACTGTGGCGCTCCCGAGGCCGCACCCCGAACCGACTGATGGGCCTGGGTTCCGACGCCTGCGGAATGGGCCAAGGGGCTCCATACGGGGTCGTGCCCGAGGCGCGCCGCGACCCAGCCCTGTCCTTCCTCTTCGATAGCCCCCGTCTGCGAGACCCGTCGGTAACCGTGATCGGGGACTTCGGGCTCGTTCAGGGTGCCGCGTCGGGCGATGAGATTGATCGGTTGGATTACTCGCTCGGAACGCCGAGGAATGCGATTATGGTTGCGACGACGAAGTTGGCTGGTGGTCATTCGGACAACTACGGGTTGTTCAATGAGGAGATTTTGTTTCCCATGGTGAATACAACGGGCACGACTAGTGATAAGGTTCGCAGCGATTTGGTATATTTTGAGACTATGGCGGGAGGAGCGGTCTTTTCAGTCGGATCGATCAATTGGGTGGGCGCGTTGGCGTGGAAGAATTATGAGAATAATGTCGCCGAGATTACGGCGAATGCGGTCCATGAGTTTGTGAGGAGAGTTAGGGCAAGAGGAGAATAGTTTGCCCTGATGTTTATCATGTCAGATAGTGAATTGAGGATTTGAAATAGCAGTGCTCAAAAAGATGGTGAAGTAGACATTTATTCTGGGAGCCCGATTCTTCCCTGATTCCCTTGGCGAATATCTCAAATATTTCAAGAAGAACCCGATATACTTAATAGGTCATCTGGATTCATCATCGTCGATCAGTCGACTGCTTTTGAGTTCGCGAGGGGAAGGTAAGTTGTGAGCGTAGACGGGATACTCGGGATGAGACCTAAACGAACAAGGAAAGGAAAGGGCAAGGCGAAAAACAGAAAAAACAAGAGAGAGAGAAAAGCAAAGTGGCGAGAGACTTGAACGAGTCTTATAGGTTGTAATTCAGAAATTAGCTGAGATTGAGACTTATATCCCGACACATACATGGCGCGAGCCCACAAACTGAGGAGAAAAAAAGTTCGGTGGGCATTTTTTATCACAAAAGTATCTATTCATCGTTTGCACAGAACAAGAGATATGGGCATTTGAAAAGAAAGATCGTATTAATGTAGTGAAATATTGAAGTATGCCTAATCAATGGTACTCAGGCACCCTCAGAGTCCTTCTTCACCCTCCCCCAAATCCTCTGTATCAGATCAATCCCGAACCCAGTAAACAAGGTCAAAGCAACAACAAATGCAAGTCCACTCGGCCATCCATGCGTCGCCTTGAACTCAGGAGCCTGTCCACTTGGAAATTGCAACTGCTGGAAGGGAATAACAACCGCGTATCCGAAGCTAACCATGAAGCCCAGCGTAAACGCCCTAAGTTGCTGGTCCCCGCCGCACACGGAGTTGACCCATCCCGCGAGCAAAGGCGTATAGCAGCCATAGGAGCCCGTCAGGATAAAGACTGCAATTTTGAGCTTATGTGGAACATCCCAGATAGTGAGGATGATGTAGCAGAATGTGAGCACACACCCGACGCCGAAGCAGACGATGTTCCGACGGCCTAGCTTATCGGACAAATAGCCCGTGGAGATCATGAAGACGAAGTTAACGGCTCCGATGCAGGTCGGGATGTTATTAATTTGTGGGACAGAGTATTCGCCCGTAGATTTGAGCCACAGGCTGAAATATTGCATCACGTACGATCCGCACGTCAGTGTCCAGAGGGCGTACGCGATGGAAAACGTATAGAATTGCCAGGAGGCAAGGACGCGTTTGAAGATCGTGCGATCGAGACGCGCACTGGATGCCCGACCGTCTTCTTGCATTCGTTCGAGCGCCCGATGCCGTTCCCACTCGGTTAGGTAGAATGCGGTCGTGTTTTCAGGCGTGTCGGGGTAGAAGAAGAAACCGTAAATAGCGACGGGAACGGCGAGCAGGAAATCGAAGATGAAGAGCCAACGCCAGGCGGGCATCCCGTGTTTCCCTTCCATGCCAGTGTATAGAGCAGCTTGGAGGTATCCCGAGAACATTTGACCGAGGACACCGGACATTACAAAAAGACCGCTACGTCGAGCGATTTCGGACTTCTTGTACCAGCATCCGAGCACGTATTGAATTCCCGGCCAGGCCGCCGATTCGAATAAGCCGATGCAGAAGCGCAGGGCGTAAAATTCACTGGCAGTGTTGCACTTGAAGAGGAACAGCACGAAAAGGGACCATGACATCAGACAGAACGGAAGCCAGTATCGCGGTCGGATGACGGTCAGAATCAAGTTGGAAAACGGGCCGCCAACGATCTGTCCAGCATTGAAGAACGTGTTCATCCAGCTGAGTTCGTCACCTGGACCGAAGCCGAGATCCTCCTTCATGCCAGAGACGTAGGCATTGGATATGTTATTTTGATCGAGTTGCTTGATGAAGAAGCATAGGCAGCTGTAGCTCAAGAGGAACCAGTCCAGCTTGAAGATCAGGACCTTTTCCTCTTTGGTCGTTCCGGGGCCATGCCAATGGAATAGATCCCATCCTCGGCGTTGCGAGTTTTCATCGCTATAAACGGACTCATTCGGCGTAGTTTCAACTGTCACATCTTTCACCTCTGAGTTCTTGGTGCTGATGTTCTTGGTGTCTTGTTCGGGCGGATAGAACCTTGAAGAAGTCATATTCCCAAGCCGATAGTTTGATAATGATCGGTGGGACAGTATGTATTTGCATGGGACATGCTTGAAAAAACACCAAGTGCTAGCATTTTATAAAAGACATTACCCACCATCAGCGAAAGCAAGATGGACACGCCGATGGCGCAATCAGCGAGCCGATTCAAGACCTTGGCAACGCTATTCAACCTACCCGGTTGGGAAGTTTAGAGCGGAGTGGGGCCGGCGCGGTCTGCTTCTACTCCGTGAGTTCTAACCGAAGCAATGACTGACCAGCATCCCACTGGAACCTATCAGGGTATTATGATATTGTCGCATGGATGGTGGATGATAAGCTAGAGAACTATGGAGGTCTGCCGGACCCACCTGCATGTGCCTTGCAATTGCCACCGGCCATTGCGTCAAGGGTCTAGAAGCAATTCTGGTAACTCTTGTCATTTAGCGTTATATTTTCATGTCGCACTGATTCAGAGAAAGGAGAAATGGTATCCATGATGGGGTGAGAATGAGGATGATGGCGACACAACCGCTGGTGACTCGGGCCCGGCGCATGAATAATGGTTGGATTCGAGTGCCGGTGCGTCCCAGTCATCTAGAATGTTCAAATAGCAAGTTGCCTTGCCCATGATTTCCCCAAGAAGAGCAGAAAGCTCTTTCACTAATGAATGAAGCCAGTCTTGGTGTGCTGGATCCATCGCGCATGGACGAAGTGAGCCAGACTGGGCCATTAAGCTCGACTCGTAGTCGGAGATTAGATCACTCAAGCCGGCCATCACTTGAACAAGACCGCCCGCTGGTGCCCATTTATCGGAGAATGCGCTTAGGATGTTAATGCATGTTCGTATATCTTCCTTACCAGGAAAGGAAGTGTAACATTCCCAAGAGAAACAATGTATTAATATCAGGCAAATAGGAACAAGACGGCATAATGTGACACGATTCAAGGGCAGCTGCCGATTGACCAGGAGGACCTGGTTATACTGCATGAACTTTCTCACGAGTGCCAATAAACTTGGCTCGTGGGGGCCTTTCGCCCGAGAATTGAATTGACAAGGGTAGTGAAGCAAGAGCATGAGATGATAATATCGTGCATTCAGCCATGCCATTGTGTCGTGGACTCGGACATTGTCGGGTTCCGGTCGAGCGATTAAGCAGCCATGGCTATACCAGTTCTCGACATCGGTCCGAAACCGACTGATGATCGCATGGCGGTCAGAGAGCGACAGGTTGCTGATACTGGTACGACTTTGTAGATGGATTGTGGACAGGATCTTGCTTTCTAGCTGACGCAGCTCAATTACATGCCGACTCACTTGGAGCATAGTAGCTAGATTCGTGCGGTCGGGCGACGCAAACTCCTCCACGGTTATTGCCGGATAAGGAACATCCATTTCGTCAGACACCAGGCCGGGCGACTGTCCGACGGAGACTGCCATCATTCTATCTAGCACATAGATGCTCCAAACCAGCCGTCGGCGAAGCTCGGTGGTTTTGGAGTTGCTGTGGGTTTGGTTCGTAGAACGAGCGAGACCTTGGGTCATGGCCTGTCGAGTGATGATCCCAACTATGGACCAAGTAGAGGGACCGGAAGGATCAAATAGCGAGTATAGGGCAAGGAGGACAAGAATTTGGATAGAGTCAACACCCTCGTGGAGAATACATCGTTGGAGTATATCGGAGTAAGAGATGTCGAAAGACGGGGACGCCTCGTACGATGCTTTCCCTGAGCGTTGCAAACTGGTATGGCCAATCGCCATGATGATAAGGAGTATCTGCGCCAGTCAGTGTATAAACCCGGAAACTGGATATCTCGTTCACTCACGATTGAATCTGCATCCTGCATATTTGGTGCTAAGCCCAAAGAAGAAAGATGAAGAATGCGTGCCTTATCGATAAATGGGTAGGCGCGATAGACATGATGGAAGAAGGCATCCACCAACGCAGTCCGACCGGGGATATTCAGACGAGAGTCGACAGATGATGCAGGTGCTGGAGGTGCTGGAGGTTCAGTTGCCGGGGTCGTAGTTGCACGTGCGTCCGGAGTGTCACGTTTATCGTCGGGAGTCTCTCGTTCTCCCGACTCGAAATCCCTTGAGCCCGGCTCATGACTTTTATCAACCATCCCAATCTCTCGCTCAACGTCACCCACATCTCGACCCATCACTTCCGCGATGTATCGACTTAACGCATCAACCCTTGTCTGCAGAAAGCGATAAGCGCCCGTGGAAGGCCCCAGCCCGCCCGAATAAGAGCATCTCTGGCCGGCATGGACGCAATGGCCACATTCGGGCAAATCCCGACTACATCGCTTTTTCAGTCGTCGACAGCGATCACACGCAGGAACCGACACCCTTGCACTACTCCCCGAGTCTTCCAATCTAGAAGACAACTCCGCTGACAGCCTTGGTCCAGGATCCGGGGTTGAGCGACGCAAGCGAAACCGTTGGGTTGTGAATCCGCGAGACGACTCGGCATTCTCCTTACCTCTCTGGGGCGGCATGGCCGTCAAAATTTGCCGGGAGGGGAAGTTATTGTGGGGGAGATGATAATGCGCGATGGGTTTATCTTGAGTGGCAGTTGGTGCATCATTCGGGCGCTGATGGTGTGATTTGCGGACCCTTGCCGATGAGGATTTCCTTTCCAGGTGATGGCTTCATCTAGCTCCATCAGCTTAAATACTGCGAAAGTATGCAGGTACTCACCAATGGGTTTCCCTACCTTTCTTTATTTGCATTCGGTCTCCTTGACTTCTAGCATGTGACACGAGCAAGTCTCCATCATGAGCAACGCAGACGATATCAAGATCTCCATCGGTACGAGCTTTCCGCACCTTCTTGCCAATTGAAACTGACAATAAAGATCGTGGTGGTACATTCTGCGATGTTCTCGTCCAAATTCCTGGACAACCCGACCGTGTTTTTAAGCTCTTATCAGAAGATCCTGCCAATTACCGCGATGCCCCGACCGAAGCTATTCGGAGAGCACTTGAAGTTATTGATGATCGGCAAATTGCGAAAACCGAAAAGCTAGATGGCTCGCGGATTTCCTCCTGTCGCATAGGCACAACGCTGGCGACAAACGCCTTACTGGAGGGGAAGGGAGAACAATTCGCGTTTATCACTACGAAGGGATTCAAGGATGTGTGTGTTATTGGTGACCAAACGCGACCGAAGCTTTTTGATCTGAACGTTCGCAAAGCTTCTGCCTTGCATGACAAGGTCATAGAGATCGATGAGAGAGTCACGGTCGAGGATTATGATTTAAATCCGTTTCCGCTGGACAAGAGCAGTGTGCTGAATGATCCATCTCTTGTTCGAACCATGAGCGGCGAAATAATTCGAGTAATCAAGCCTTTAGACACCTCCGAGGTGACGAGCGCACTTCAGAAACTCAAGACCGACGGGTACGACTCGGTCGCTATTGGCTTCATGCACTCGTACTTATTTCCCGATCATGAAATTCAAGTGGCATTGCTTGCGCGACAAATGGGCTTCAAGTACGTGACTACGTCGTCCGAAATAAGCCCAACAATAAAGTTTCTGCGACGCAGTAACTCTGTATCCTCCGAGGCCTACCTCTACCCCATCATCAAGCAATACATCACAGAGTTCGAAAATGGTTTCGCCACCTTGCCGAAGAGGGTTGAATTCATGTGCTCTGATGGGGGGCTGCGATCTTCTCAAAGATTCCGAGGCAACGAGGCTCTTTTAAGCGGTCCAGCCGGTGGCGTGGTGGGAATCGCAAAGACTTGTTATGATCCCATAGAGCGCACCCCAGTTATAGGATTCGACATGGGAGGCACTAGCACCGATGTATCCAGATACGACGGCAACTATGATTTTCTGAGTGAGACGACAATTGCTGGCCGCATTATTACCGTCCCGATGTTGAATATCGCGACCGTAGCTGCGGGTGGAGGCTCCATCCTGTTTGCCCGTAACGGACTATTTGCTGTCGGCCCAGATAGCGCCGGTGCACATCCAGGTCCTGCTTGCTACAGAAAGGAGGGACCGCTGACTGTCACGGATGCGAACCTCTTCCTAGGCAGATTGGTTTTGTCAGCCTTTCCATCTATGTTTGGAAAGGATGCGGACGAGCCACTCGATTACGATGTGACTGCTCGGAAATTTGAGGAAATAACGAAGGACATCAACATCCAAACTGGTGAGAGTCTCTCAACGGAGGAAGTCGCGTCAGGCTTTCTGAATGTGGCGAACGAAACAATGAGCCGCCCAATTCGCAATGCGACCGAGGCCCGGGGCTTCCATCCTGAGCGTCATAATTTGGTTAGCTTCGGGGGCGCTGGGGGGCAACATGCCTGTTCTATTGCCACAAGGCTTGGAATTCGACGAGTTTTGATTCACAAACATTCATCCATCTTATCTGCCGTTGGGATTTCTCAAGCTGATTTGCAGTATGAATCAGTTGAGCCATACGTCGGTACATTCCATCTCGGCGCTCTACCTGGAATTCGTGCTCGGTTCGATGCCCTCAAAGATAAGGTGAAAACCGAATTGGTCGGTCAGGGCGCTTCTTGGGAGAAAATTGAATTTGATGAGTCACTTAGTCTGAGATATAAGGGGACTGACACCAATTTGATCATCTCGAAACCGAGCGACGAGAACTACGGCGCTGCCTTCAGAGCGGCGCATCTGCGAGAGTTCGCTTTCGTATTAGAACGAGATATCATTGTCGATTCGGTCCATGTTCGTGGAGCTGGTGATAGCAGCAATGCTATTCGGTCGGCCTCCCCATTCGAAGTTTTGGAGCAGATCAAGATTGATCAAAAGCAAGCCCTAACAAACAGTTCACAAAAAGTCTTTGTTGACGGGACATGGCATGATGTACCGGTCCACAAACTTGAGTCCTTCTCTAGTCCTGCTATTGTGAGCGGTCCCGCCTTGATCATCGATTCAACCCAGACCATCTTAGTCGAGCCACAATGGCAAGGCTACATACTGCCAGAACATGTCATTCTTGAACGCGTATCGGATGCCACTTCGCTCCCAGAGACTATCAACCCCATTCAACTGTCCATCTTTTCGCACCGCTTTATGTCCATCGCTGAACAAATGGGCAATACGCTTCAGCGAACCTCTATTTCTACCAGCATCAAAGAACGCTTAGATTTCTCTTGTGCAATTTTCTCTCCAGATGGAAAGCTTGTGGCGAATGCTCCACACATTCCAATCCATCTTGGTAGTATGCAATACGCCATCCAGTATCAGCATCATCTATGGGAGGGAAAGCTTCGCCCTGGCGATGTACTCATGACTAACCACCCGGAGTGCGGTGGGACACATCTCCCAGATGTTACAATTGTGACACCCGTCTTCGCCAAAGATAATGAAACCCTTATGTTCTATGTGGCAGCCCGAGGACATCACACCGATATTGGTGGAAAAGGAATTACTTCTATGATGCCTGATTCGAAGGAACTATGGGAAGAGGGCTTGAATGTTAAATCCCTCAAGATTGTCAGCGGCGGAAGGTTTCTCGAGGATGCTGTCAGAGATGCCTTCGTTCAGGCGGGAACGTTTCCAGGTTGCAGTCCCTCTCGTCGACTGGACGACAACATATCCGATATCAAAGCCCAGATATCATCTAACCAGCGCGGTATTTTGCTTTTACAGAAGTTGTGTGACGAGTTTACACTTCCGCTTGTTCACCGGCAGATGTATGCCATTCAGGCCAACGCGGAAGTCGCAGTGCGACAGTTTTTTAAAGACATCAGCAAGATGCACCCAGAGCCGCTCACAGCAGCAGATTACTTCGATGACGGGACTCCACTGCGAGTAACGATTACGATCGATGAAGACACGGGAACTGCGATTTATGACTTCAGCGGGACAGGTCCGCAAATGTGGGGAAATTACAACTGTCCCATTTCTATCACTCATTCTGCTGTTATATACACAACTCGATGTCTCATCGATGCGGATATCCCTTTGAATGATGGATGCCTTGCCCCCATTGACATCCGTATCCCGAAAGGGTCAGTCTTACGGCCTAGTGCATCGGTCGCTATTTGCGGCAGTACGCTTGCGAGTCAGCGCGTGATTGATACAATTTTACGGGCATTCGGTCGATGCGCTGCTTTCTCTGGTTGCGCGAATAGCTTTGGCTGGGGAATCGGTGGCAAGAACCAGGTTACGGGGGAAATCGAGCCCGGTTGGAATTATGGCGAAACCGTGGGCGGTGGGTGCGGCGCTGGCCCTTCATGGCATGGAGAGCACGCAATCCAGGCGCACTCGACCAACACGAAGATTACCGATGCGGAAGTCGTCGAGAAGCGGACTCCGGTGATTATTCGCCAACATAGCATCAACTACGGAACTGGAGGACGGGGTCAGTTTAACGGCGGGGACGGAGCGACAAGGCTCATTGAAGCCCGGGTACCGCTCAAATTTAGTATCTTGAGCGACCGACGAGTATTCGCGCCATATGGCATGCATGGGGGAGAAGAAGGGGCTGTAGGGAAGAACTTCCTTTATCGCTGGAACGAAGATAGAAGTGGGTTTGAGAAATTATCCTTGGGTGGAAAGGCAGCTCTGAGTGTGGAGGCAGGAGAGATGATGGAAGTGAACAGTCCCGGGGGTGGTGGATGGGGATATGCCACGCAGGTTCCGGCAAGTTAGTGCAAATGTTAATGAGTAAAGACATACATACCTTTGGGACGAAAATGAAGGGCTCTAATCAATCCCACTCGACCGATTGATTTTGCAAGGGAACGGTCGCAATGCGATCCTCTACAAGTCGTTGCATAGCGATTCGGCATCCCCCGATGGTTGATCATATGTGGAAATTTTCATCGGAGACGATCCGCCGTGTCGCAAGTCAGAAATAAGCTATTTATCTGCCTTGATCCCGTAGTCGATCTTCGCTCACTTTGTCAACCTTGAGCACAGTGATGGATTTCATCTCGATCAACGGCGCTCAGCTGGCGTATCATCTGACTGGCCCTCAAGACGCACCATTAATCATCACTCTCCACGGAGGACGAGGATTCGGTACTTTATTCGCACCCAGTCCTCTTGTCTCCAATACTTATGGGATGTTAGGAGACCACAAGTCTGACTTTGCGGCATTTTCGCCTCTTTCGGACCGATACAGGGTGCTCTCGTTTGACTATCGAGGTCATGGACAGAGCTCGCGCACCAAGCCATACTCGTTCCAGCAAATAGTCGACGATATCGATGCACTCCGAGTTCATTTTGTCGGGCCAGAACGACAGTGCATCATTTGCGGTGGCAGTTTCGGAGGCTTCTTAGCGCAGCAGTACGCGATCCAGTATGCGGACAAAGTATCGCATCTGATATTACGCGGGACTGCACCTTCGCATCATCGTGAGGGTTCCCTGCTTCGTGCCAAGGCTTCGCTTTGTGATGCTGATGTTTCATCCGCAGACGAGGATAATGCGATCCAGATACTGGAAACCCGCCTTCATCGAGCCCCGGGACTCTCCGTGTCCATGTTAAAGGAAAAGATATTTGGGCAGTTTCAAAATGACAATGATTTCCGGCTTGTGATGCTCTGCGCAGCGCCTTTGTATGCTGAAAAGTTCGACCCCGACGGGGCGCTGCGCAAGAATCTGGAGACGGTATTTAATGCCGAGTCACATAGTAAGCAAACGAGCGCTTGGTTTCCAGGAAGGCGTGATGTGTGAAAAACAGATGCTTATGATCTCTAGATGATTTATACTCCACGTCGGAGAAGTATTTTGATTATAGAGATGGCTTGCATCTCATAACCGCTCGAACGCTAGTTGTGGTCGGTGAATTTGATTGGATCTGTCCGCCGAATCAATCAGAGCTCATAGTCGCAAGCATCCCTAACGCAAGGCTCGAGATCGTACACGACGCGAATCATGCGGTTCATTTAGAGAAGAACGAATACGTGGTGCGGGTGATGCGAGAGTTCCTGGGGAGCTGTTCATGCCAAAAAATGTAAGACCTCTGGGTGAGCGTGTGTGTCGCTCGTATCATCTCACATGTCATACACGTGGCGCGACTTTAGTTATTCGTCTGAGTGAAACAAATGGGATATTTATTCGGTTTCTTCCCACTATGTTGATGTCTCAGAGATAAGAAGTGGTCGGCTCGTGTTCGACTGACGGGCGGAACATGCATGTTTAACGTGGATTGATATCGTTCTTGACATCCCCTACGATTAAGTTGAGGTCATGAAACTCACCGTTGTTCCACAGATGAGAGAAGTGACGGTCAGTTGATGACGATCCTCTGAATTGTGAAGAGAGCTGAAAGGTTGCTCAAGCACCTTCACGGGACCTTCCATTATTTTGGCGGAGGCCTCCGATATAGGGATCCCATGATCCTCCTCTAGATAAATACCACACATGCTGCACACCATCAACAAAGAGTTGATGAATTATCTCGGTGTACGCAGTTCTGAGAAGACCTTTCAAGCAACCCTTCCCACCTCAACCGCTCACTACCAGCTTTAAGAGTGAAACCCCCAATTTCAACGCTTTTCATCTAGGTTTCGAATTCAAATCCGATTCCAGGAGTATGATGCTCCCCTGGAGAGCTATCGTTATCTGCTGGGGGATTTGAGCCCTGGGTCAGCTGGGTATTGCCGGACATTGTTGTTGGGCTTTTGGGGGGACGTTTTGGACTATAAGATGGGCAGGAGAGAATTCAGGGCTCAGAACGATCGAACAATCGGGCAGCAAGAGGGAGCAGGGAGAAGGTGTTTGGGGGCCCTTTTCGGTCATGTCTATGGATTGGCTATATAATACCTCCAAATGGAGCTTTGTGCAGCTCCTGCCAAAGTTATTGTCGCTTTAATGATCAAACATTCCGCTTAAATGATCTGATTTTGAATCCCGCAGTGTGCCCTTTTTCTACCTCCCCAAAAGCGATGGGCTGAATGCCTGATTGATCAAGGAAGCTTTACTCTTTGTTCTTAGCGGAGGCTATAAAATGTCTCATATTTCGTCTTTGATTCTTGTTACTTTCACACGTCCTGTGCTTTGTCTCCGTTTTACCGTATATTATTTTACGGTAAAGATAGCAGTCGCTATGCGAAACCCAACAGCACCCTCAAATGGTTACTCACTTCAGAAACTTCCTACGGAGTTGCCGATCAAGATATGTTGTCGTCTTGAATCCTTCTCTTATGTATACAAGTTGGCGGCAACATGTCGCAGTCTTCAGTCTGTTTGGTCGGAAACACTGATAGTATATACAACCGAATTGCTCCAATTGAGATACGATGCCTCCATCACGCACGAAATCTGCTGGCAGATTTAGGAGGAGCAGCTCCTGGCTCCCCTGTGACGGTCTGGGGTGTCCACCGTTTGACACGCAGCATGTTCAATGTGCACAAAGCTATTGCCTTCTTTGACAAAGACTTTACTCCTTTCATACGCCGTCAGTACACCCCCACCCTAACCCAACATTATGAGACAGAGTTTGATTGTAGACAGTAATGCAGCGATAACCAGAGTCTCTTTGGCGCAGGCGGGGTACGTCCGCCATACCTCATGTCTACGGAGCGTCGCCGGTTCATTCGTTGCTATTACCAATTGTGGGGGATCCCACTCCTGGTGAAAGAGGACCAAGGGCCCCGTGCACAATCGCTGGCGCTGAAGGATCTGTAAGGAAATATCTAAAATTTTTGACGTCAGTGACACCACCAAGTATTACCCAATCGGCGCGCCCGCTTCTTTGTTTCCCTGCTTCCCCGTTTCTTTGACAGTTATTGAACCTTCAATTATGGAGCCTCCGCTATACACGTATGCATGGAAAGCTAAGCAGTCAGGTAACATGCCATGCCAGGTACGATTCAAAGTCCCGGGTGATGAAGATCGATATGCGGAAGCCTCGCCGCAGCAGCTGATACTCTCCGAAAGGGAATATACTAAAACTAGCATATAATATAGTTATTACACCTATTACATATATTACATAAGTATAATTTATAGAAGCTTTAGGTAATAAAGGTAAAATTAATCTAAATATACCAAAATCACGATGAAGGTGGTCCTTCGCTTTCCAGTTTACGATCGTCTATGATTTTCCCGGGACGCGGCTTGGATGACTGCTTTCATTCTTTGTTCACGGCGGCCCAGGGGTCTGGCAAGCTACCCAGCCCCTGCACCGCGCTCTTCTAAGGAGGCAGTGCTGAGCCATCTACCCTTCGTTTTGATCTCTGCCGATATTTGCGCAAGTTTGCTTCCATGCTTTTTTTGTGCTCCACTTCAGCAAATATGTTTAAACTGCAAGTAAAACAAAACAAAAAAAACAAAACAAAAAAAAAAAAAACCCAGACAAAAATGGAAAACAGATTGGCACCGATGAAATGGTGTCAATCAAAACAAGCTACACTCATGCCTCTATAAGATCTCTGAGCCAGCCCATTCCGTAGGAATCGGAGATCGCCAGCTTTGATACAATAACTGTTGTTATGTCCCTTCTGCCAGTTTCCTGCTCCTTGATGCAAAAGTATCTATCCGCCTGCTAATAAGTCGCTGTGGTCTAAACCGCGTGGCCGGTCGTGGCATCACGTGACAGAGGACCTTATCAGATCGTCAGGTCCGGCAGACTGTGGGTCTGGAACGGTCCGACGCTTCCGGACCACGGAAGTCCCTTAATCGGCCGAGACGGACCACTCGCGCACCTCCGGCATCAGTCTTTTTGGCCGGGAGATGCTGTGTGTTACGACCACTATATAGAGCAACGCGCATTCCAAGCCGTTGACTTGGAATGAATCTCCCGCCGCGTGTAATAATATTACCTCGTGTATTTCAGTTTCTTTCTTATGAATTAATTTTTTCAATTATTATAAACAGATAGGGAAAAAATATTTAAATTTTATTCAATTTAAATATTATGTGGACCAAAAGAGAAAAATGGAAAAAAAAATTAAATTAGTCTTGGAATATAAAAAAAAGGCAAAGATACGGTAATACTAAATTTATGTGGAAAGGATGAATTAAGAAAACAGTTGAAATGAATTCTGCCCCGAGCCGTGTAGACAGACCATCTGCTCAACTAGTAGGGGGGGTATGCCATGAGCGACCAGGGGGCGTGGCTATAGCACGTCCCTTTTGGCCCTGGATTTCAGGCTTTTGATCCCACGGCGTCTCAATGCAGGCCAAGACCTCGCCAATCGGCCACCCGGTTCTGTCCCCCCAGTTCCGAACAGCGTCAATCAACTCAAGTGCCTTCTTACGCTCTCGTAGCCATCTCGCACCTGAGGGCGCAGTCAGCAATAATTAATCATCCGTCGCACAACGGGTTTACAACTTACAAAAGGAGATGGGTCTGAACGAGTTGATCCACACCGGAGTTGAGGAACTGTTGATGGCCAACGCGCAGATGTACGTGGCGTGGTAATCAAGCGTGTTCTTGAAGGATTGCGTCCGTTGGATTTGCTTCAAAGCACTCCATTCCGACGGTCGCGGTTCCGCGAGACAAAGAATTATCATGGCAGTATGCCAGTACTGCCAGCTAGACGCTACCATTGGTCGACCGGAATTAGCAGGAGGACCAACCAAATAGGACCGCTACGGTTGCACTCACTGTCCCAGTCACACGGCGTCCAGAGCGCCGGGAGGCCGGCGCTGTTGATCGGTTCGGAGAGAAATCCGCTAACGTAGGTTTCCGTCTCCTTCGATAGCTCTTCCCATTCTTCGCGCTCTATTGCAGGCGCATCGTGCCGGGGACATCGATTGATCACTTTTGCTAGTTGGCATGTTACCTTGTTGGCAAAGTCGCTGTCTTCGCGGCCAAGTTGCGGCACGCAACTCTCCTTGAGCTCCATCAGGAACCCTCTCTTGCAGAGCAGAGCAACGGTGATATCTTGTCGTAGGTAGTTCCAGAATCCGGCGTCAAAGAGTCGACTTTGAGGCTCAGTCCGCTCACTAGTGATGAGCGAGTACAGCCCGTGTAAATGGTTCTAACATCGAACGTCTCGGGCTACCATGGATCAGCATGAGTTCGGGTCGCGAACATCGCATCGAGAGGAACGGCTACGCACACATTATAAGCTCGTAGGATCTCAACAAGCAGATAGCCGCCAAGGTCTGTCCGTTGTGAAAATTCTCCGGGTCTTCAGCCGCCGTGATCAGCATTTCGATGCTCTCGGCATGGTATGCCTCGGCTATCTCTCGATGGTGGGCTTTCTGCTCTTGAGGCATCGAATAATCGGCGCAATACTGGGACGCGGCGGAAAAGGCTAGGATTGCGCTGAGCAGCAAGGGGTTCGTTTGTGCCATCGATGGAACAGTGGTTCTAAAGTAGCTCTGCGCATCGTGTAGATCGTACCAGTCGGCTAGGAAGAAGATGTAGTGGCGGAGGCGTTCGGCAACGTGCGGATGCTTGAGAGCCTCTCGGGATGGGTGTACCGATACAAAAGTGACTCTCGGCTCTGGGCGCGATGCGGGAGTCGCTATTGTTCGACCTGGAGACAGCGTTATCGCTCTGGATATTCGTGATGTAGGAGCTGCAGGATCAGTCGCTGCCGGAAGAGTGGATACTGCCGCTGGCAAGGGCGTTTTAGGGGCATCGAGCCATGTACATTCCCTGGAGGCCGTCTGGCAACGAACACAGACAGGCTGCACCCTATCACCTGCATTATAGGTGGATCTGGTCAACTAAGATCCATGCAATAGTTCTTTCCCATACTGAGGTCTACCTACACTTCACCTTGCGTGCCCTACACTGCTGACTACAAAGCCAAGCTTTCAGTTAGACCAGTTTGAGAGACTACAGGACTCAAAACTACTGACGTCATTATTCGCGGTAATGGGAGTTCTTGGCGGTTCCGGCCCTGCCCAAGAGGGAAACTCGTCAACAGAGGAGGCCTCCCGGAACTGAAGCCGTTCGCCCGAGTCGACGCTCCATTGCCCTCTTGCCACGCAGTCGTCACTTCGGAGATCTTCCTTGAGCCGGGTCCAGTGTTCCGAAGTGCGCATCGGGTCAAATGTACGTAAGAACGAATCGGTTGCAAGGTCGAGCTAAATATAGTGCGCCGCTTCCCCGACACGATAAACCCCAGACGAATCTTCTTCTGTGCATCAGGATTTAATCTTGCCAAATATTCAGCTTATTCCAAGTCACACGTTACTAATAATGATTCCCACCAGGATCTCCCGGCACAGCGGCCCCCTCTACAATACAGTGCGAAGAGCGTCGAGTTTCCCCGCCAGCATCAAGCCCTCCAAGTCAGAGGTACAGCAAGGTTGCCTGAAGCCCCAGAACCTAGAGATGGCCATTCGTAATCTTCATCATGACGGAATCGTCGTGGTCGAGGATGCGATTCCCCACGACAGCCTAGATCGATTGAATGACAAAATGGTCCGGGATGCGATCACCCTACAGAACAAAAAGCAGGACAGTCCGTACAACTACAATCCGGGGAACATTCAACAAGATCCGCCTCCGATCCGCGAATATTTCGAGAAAAGTATCTTCCTAAGTATGTGCTCAAGCACGTCGATGTGATGCGAACAAGAATGGAACTGACTTCTTCGCGTATAATAGACCCGCTCGCCCTCCAGGTCACATCCACTGCCTTGGGTCCCCGTCCCAAATGGACCTTTTGCTCGGGCAACTCCGCCATGCCACCGACGGCTAAACACCCCCCGATGTCCCAGCCCGTACACTCCGACGCCGACTTCGATCACCCAAAACATCCCTTCGCGTACGTCGTCAACGTTCCGCTGATTACAATGACACCTGAGAACGGATCCACGGAGGTTTGGGCGGGCACACATACGGATTCGGGCCTGCATGTCCAGGAAGGTATGCATGGCGAACGTGCGAGCGGGCGAATCAAGCTCGAGGAGTTGGAGAAGCGACGCGCCGTTCGGCCGCCGAGTCAGCCAGTCGTGCCTAAGGGGTCGTTTGTTCTGCGTGATCTTAGACTGTGGCATGCGGGTGTGGGGAACCAGACTGATGTGGTTCGGGTTATGCTGGCTATGAGTATGTATTGCCTCTCTTCTGGGTATGATTTGTGCTGATGGGTGGGACTTTAGTCCATTTCGCGCCGTGGTATAGGAATCCTATGAAGCTGGAGCTGTCGGATGACTTGAAACCGATGATCGAAAGTGAGAAGGGATTAAAAGTACCCGTTGATTGGGTGAGCAAAGAGAAGGCACTGTCGCGGTATTTGAATCGGGGGTTTGGGAATGCGTATGATTTTAGTCAAGGCGCTTAGAGAAAGATTGGCCTTTTTCAGTCTTTACGTGGAACGGTACCCGAAGTGTTTTCCATAAAATGGTTGGCTAGACTTTTACTGTGAATTGTAAAAATAAAAATGAATCAGTCAATTTAAATGAAATCGATTATAATAAAAAATCTTCTACTATAAAAGAACATGTCTATGATCGAGAGCAGGCGGGCATGGGATAGGATTATCTGCGGCTGGATTCAGAAGCCGACTTCCGCCAACTGCCTTCAATCTTTTTACCCTTTCTTTTTTTTAGGATGCTTTGAAATTGGTTAAAGCCGTTTTGGCAAGGGGACAGGCGCGTAGAGTCGATCTACCAAGAATTTCTCCACTGCATCCTAGTTATCGCTGCCCCATTTGTAAGCGCCGAGGGATCAACCGCCGCAGCACCTCTTCGGAAACTGTTATGAAATGCACAGGGGAAGGAGGGCAGGATGACACTGTATCGGCTACACGCACGCAGCCTACTAAGGAGCGAATGCCTTTAGAATGATAGGGCTCTTAATTTACTTACATAACGATTAATCTCTTCTTCGATGATAGATAGAGGGGTAAGTTCCTCAGGGGTTCGAGTGTGCGGGCCAAGCCGCTAGATCACGCAATCTCATAGACTCTATCAGAAACTGGGCTTCCGAGTTTATGAGCTCGTGGAAGCGCTTATTGACAAACGACAGATCGGGGACCGTGCAAAGTATGGCCCAATCACGAGAGCAAGACCCATCAAATGGTGCGGCAGGGATCATCTATCGACCCCGTCGCAACGTGCCATTTTCTCGAAATAGCAACACGAAATCTGCGCGCTTAACAAGAAGCCTATCAGGGCTTTTATACCGAAAAGAGGATCATCAAAAAGTACGAACTTCTACAACAGCGGGTCATTAGAGTTGTTCATTGGTCCCAATTAGAGTATTCTGATTCTCGCTTCAGCCGTGACCTCTCAGCTCGCAAGGTCCGGTCTTATTTCCAAGGCATAAAAAGGGTCTTGATGCCCGCTTTGAATGTATTATCATCTGCAACTCAAAGTCTCATTTCTATCTATCATTGGAAACCTACACAAACACTCTCTGAGGCTGAGCTTAGCAACAAGATGGTTGAGCCTTTTTCTGCTTCCTTTGCCATCGCTGGCCTTCCGGGCATGTTCAACGCCTGCGTCGAATCATTCGACTACATCCAGCTCGGCAACCACTTCGGCACCCATTATGAGAATAGCTTGATGAAGCTGAACTTGGCCCGTCTGCGCCTTTCGCGCTGGGGCGAGAGCGTCCAAATCAACCTCGAAGATCCAAGCAAAGCACAAATGCGTCTCGTAGAGCAATTCTCTGAGGACGCCCAAAAGCAGGTCGGAGATATTCTGGGCAACATCTTAGCCCTCTTTGCCGACGCCGAGCGCGTGACCGGCAAGTACAGGGACAAAGCAATCAAGGGTGCGGAGAACAGTTCGCTCCAAGAAGGATCAGATGAACTGCTACAGAAAATGAAGGAGCTCGTCATTCGGCGGAGACAGAAGAACACAAACATTCTCCGGAAGACGGGCTGGGTCCTGTACGACCAGAAGCAGTTCAACCGGCTGCTTGAAGACATTACGGAGTTTGTCGACGCGCTCGAGGAGCTGTTTCCGGCCGTGGAGACCCAGCAAAAGCTGGCTGCCAAGGAGGTCAAAGAGCTTCACAAGAGCCCGCAGTTCGGCACTCTGAAGGAAGCGTCGGAGGGTGTGGATGAAATCTTTCGCCAGACTTCGCTTCGGACGGGATTGACCGGAAATGATCATCATTTTGAAAAGTTGACCGTGGCTGGCACCGGACGTATTGTGTTTGGAGACGTGGCCATTCCTGGTGATGAATCGAAAGGCCCTAAGAACAATTATCTGAAAATCAGCATTACAGATCATCCGACAGTTGTGTTTGGCAACATGCGCACGGGAAAGTCTCCTTTTGATCCATGATCATCTACTTGGGTTGGAACACATCGGGGCCCTGCATGGTTTTCATTGGATGTAACTTATTTTATTTTATTTTTTTTTTTTTACTGCTTTGGTTTGTTCTTGTTGTCTTTGTGTGTGCATTATGGGAGGTTGCTTATTGTTATACTGTCGTGGGCTATGTTCTCTAGGTTTGTTGGCAATCTGATATATTTCTGTCTTGATCTTAATTGCCTGTCAAATATTCATTTCTAGAATTTGCTTGTCTTGATCATCAAACAGGCGACATGAAATAACGGTAGTCAAGTAGCAGCATTGCATCACTAGTTGTTGAAGCGATTGATCTTCAAAATCATGTACTCCTCCCAACTACTCTTCTCGGGCAGCTGAACCTGAGGCTGGACGACATCCTGTACCACCACCGGCTGCGCCGCGGAAGAGCTGGGAGGTAGTATCTCAACCTTTGTCTTCGCAACTCCAGTAGAGACCAAAACGCGCCCATTGGTGCCAACGGCCTCAGCCGAGACGGTGTTCAGCTTGACATGATTGACTGCCAAGGACGTCTCAAATCCAGTTCGCTTGGACTCGCCCAAGAATTCACGCGAGCCGTACTCATCCACAACATTGTAGAATCTCCAGACCTTGGTCTCGGTATCTCCATTCCACGACACATAAATGGTAGTGCCCTCATCGCTCTCGAGAGACACAATAGCGGGAGTCTCATTGGGAAGGCCAGTCCAGTTATACCGGAAGCCTCGGTAATTCTCCACCCCTTCTCCGAGGAGCCCGGAATCCATATAAGCGTGGAAAATCGGAGTCCCGTCAGATCGAAACTCGGTCAACGCTCCCTCCGATCCCCAATTCACGATCACGTTGCCATTAGGTAAGAGCTGAGTGCTGCCCTGCGATTTGGACAAGAGACCATCTGGAGGCTGGAAGGCTTGAACAACGGAGGCAGTCCAAGTGGCCGTGTCAACTTCAAGAATCTTGCCTTGAGAGAACGGATGCGTGTGGACTTCATGGCCGCGACCATCTTCGGTCCCATGTGCAGCGTTATCGTAAAGAGAGATCACCTCCTTGTCGCCGTTCCGGGAAACGAAGCGAGCGTGGTGTTGGAAGCAGAAGTCCGCGTTCGGGCCGAGAGTGAAATCTGATTTATTGCCGGCCAGCCGCCAGATAATCTCGCCCGTCGTGCCGTTGATCTTGTGCACCGAACAGGCGTCACGGGCGGAAACCAGATAGTTTCCGTCGGAGTCTTTATCGACTGAATTTATGTGGAAATAATCCCACGCGTCAGAGGAGTTGTAACCGGAACCGGCCTGACCGGGGTTGATAGGGAGAATCGCCTCTGTTGAGATAAGTTTGGGAAACGAGAAAATACCTAGAATCAACTTACCATCTGGAAAAACATGCTCTAGGCTGGACCATTCGAAAAGAAGCTCACCAGTCTCGATATCGAGTTCTAGGTCCGTTAATTACCACACCTTGATGATCAGAGAGCAAACTTACCCTGAAACAGCGAATCCACGATCCATTGTTGCTCGGGACTAGCTCCCCATCGGGTGAGGTCCGCCGGAACAGGTTGATAGATCTGAATGAGCGCGGTCTCTTCATTGATGACGTGAAATTCATGTTTATCAGTCAGTTTGTGGTTTCCCGCGCGCAGCTCCCGAATCGTTTCATAATGCTGGTCCAGGATAGTTGTATGCCCATGACCATGACCATAACCAGCGTTATGGTCGCCTTCAAAGGAAAATAGTACATCCTTGCCCTTCCAGCGCGCTTTCTGGAAGTTGGTCGACCAGATAGAATAATATCCATATCCCGACCAAACGAGCTCTCCGTCATCTCGGAGGATATACGGAGCCGCCTGTCGAGGGCCGTACATTTCACCAGCCTTGTCAGGGAACCCGGCGAACGGCGCGACGAACAGGTATCCCTTCTCGACATCAGGACCAGCGGTAATGGTGATGTTCAATCTGGGCGGAGCGAGATCAGAGCGAGACTTGAATTGCCAGTCTGCCACCACGAGGGGCAGAGCAGCAGCGAGCCAGAACGAGCGCATGATGCGTGCTAAAAGCACAATGATCAGCCCCAAGTCGATCCATATTGTTCAGGATGGGTACATTAACCTTGGTAGAGTTTCTGTGCTGTGAAACGGGTTCGATTGCTTTCGTTGCGTATTTCGTACTGCGACAACAGGTTTCCCGCGAGCAAGGATCATGAGGGAGAAAGAGCAGTATTTATGTCGACGCCCAGTGCCAATCCATGTCGTAATCCCGTCGAGATTCCTCCATCGGGAGGCCATTTGCGTGATCGCCCCGCATGACGCGCCAAGCCCTAACTCATCGTCGGAGCCAAACTGCCATCGCCACTGATTTCGGCTCCGGCACTAGAAAACTGGGTCTCTCCAAGGGTCTCGCGCAGATTGCTCGGTTGACTTTTGCCCGATACGGTGCCCGCCTGCCTCTATGGACTGTGATTGTCTCCAAGCGAAGCGTAGGCCAAGATTGCACCATCCGGCCCCAATCGCCGTTGCAGAAGACGCAAATTAGCGAGACTCGACCGCGTCGAGCCTATTCGACGTGTCGAGAGGTGGGGTACACAGTGTTTCCGAGTGGAATTTTTGTCCGAGGGGTTCTAGAGTTTTATTTTTGTAATCATAAATCAACTTCAGTTCGTGGGAAGGAGTGTATTGGAACAGATTAGCATTTAACATAACAAACCTGTTGAGCGCAAACAATTGCCAAAATGCCGACTCCTGACTACGGTGCTTTGCCTTCAAATTCCCCAACAGACGATCTGTCGTCTGTTGAAAATAACGAAAATGTCCTGTCGGAGTCGCGATCATTGCTCCCCACAGATCCAGATAAATGGGCACCTCCGAAGGGCTTTATTTGGATAGAAGTCGGTATGTAAATTCGAACTACTCAACTTTCCGATAATTTTGGCTGATAAATGCCGTAGCGATTTTCGCGAATGTTTTCCTGTCCGGCTTTGATGGAACGATCACCGCGTCGACCTATGCGCTGATCAGCTCGGAGTTCAACGCGGCCAATACGGCCTCCTGGTTGACCACCTCATACTTGATCACCAGCACTGCGTTTCAGCCATTGTACGGGCGCTTCTCCGATATTTTTGGTCGCCGTGCGTGCTTTTTTACTTCAACTATTACCTTTCTGCTGGGGTGTCTTGGTTGTGCTGTCGCGCACGATGTCATCTTTTTGAATCTTATGCGAGCATTGACGGGAATCGGCGGAGGCGGATTGATGACGATGGGTGAGTTTTTGGTCAGAAAAAGAGAGAAATGGTTCAGTGAGTAACAAATCAGCAACGATTATCAACTCCGACATGATCCCGTTCCAGCGCCGTGGGATGTACCAAGCAGCTCAGAACGTTCTCCACGGCTTTGGTTCGATTTGCGGTGCGTCCATGGGAGGCAGCATTGCCAATACCATCGGCTGGCGGTGGTGCTTTCTACTGCAGGTCCCTGTGTCTGTGTTTGCGTTGATTATGGGTCGCATCATGATTCCTGTGCGCCAAGTGTCGGTCGCGCATGCCGATAACCGTGGTCTACGCGGCGTTTGGAAGCAGGTCGATCTCACCGGTGCACTGCTACTGATCCTGGGACTGTCGATTCAACTCGTCGGTCTGAGCCTAGGAGGCAACGAACTTCCTTGGAGCAATATCTGGGTTATCGCATCGCTTGTCGGGAGCATTGTTCTGCTCGTGGCTTTCCTATTCGTAGAGGCTCAGACGACTGCTATACCAGTGATTCCTCTGCGCATGTTGCAGGGCATTCTTCCCCTCTCAACCCAGATAGCCAACGTGTGCGTGGGAATGGCTGCTTACGCTGTGAGTATTCACGAAATACACTGTGCTCGCTCGTACTGACCATATTCAGTTCCTCTTCATGCTTCCTCTTTTCTTCCAAGTCATTCTTCTCGATTCCGCCTCCAAAGCGGGCGCTCGCCTTGTCATCCCCTCCCTGGCTACTCCGATCGGCGGTCTCATCTCCGGCATCATCATGTCCCGCTGGGGAAAACTGGCCCATCTCGTGCGCGCAGGCGCCTTTCTCATGTTCATCGGCAACGTCCTGGTCATGCTTCTCGACTTTAACGACGCAAAATGGAAGTATTTCGTCTATGTCGTTCCCGCGAATCTAGGACAAGGCATCGTATATCCGGCTATTTTGTTCACTTTTCTGGCAGCTTTCGATCATTCCGGTGCGTTCCATCATCCTACTCTCCCCATGCGTTCTCCCGAAACGCAAAACCTAACATTAAGAACCAGACCATGCCGTCTCCGCCTCAACGGTCTATCTCATCCGCTCTCTTGGCACTGTCTGGGGCGTCGCCATCACATCTACGATCCTTCAAAACCATCTCAATGCGGGCTTACCAGATGCCCTGAGTGGTGTACCTGATAAATGGAAAGTAATCTCGAATTTCTTTGACTCTGGTAATGCTCTTTGTGGATGTTTGCTTACAATTTTCCGCTTTTGGCTAGGTTATCTCCGAGATCAGACACTCCGTATCGGCCATTTATACTCTTCCACCCGATATCCAGGCCGCTGCGAGAGAGGTTTATTATGGCGGTATCAGGATGGCGTTTGGGGCTTCGGCCGTGTTTGGGGGGGTTGCGAGCTTGGCTGCGGTGTTTGCGAGGGGGAAGGGGTTGGAGAGGGGTGGTCATTGATTGGTTTATGGGCGACATTAAAACTTGTAGGGATGGTTTAAACTATGGTGGAAGAAGTTACTCGGGGGTGGGAGCTGATTTTGGGGGGACTGTGCGTAGATAGGTATGTTGGCGTGGGTATATGCATAGAGATTGGAGCAGATATGATAGATCGAATTGTTGAAAAAAGAAACTATGGTATTTTGTTCGTCGCTGATTTGCGTGCCCTATGTCATCGCAACAGAAAAAGAGCGCAGGAAGCATTGAAAAGTAACTTTATCTACAAAGTTTGAGAGCATATAATTACTCCTTTCCGGAGTCACCATTATCATTTTGAATTCCCGACCGCGCACCTGCCTCAAGATCAGTCACTTCCATGTCGATTTTGGCAAACAGACTAATTTCTGACACTTCACAAGCGTCTGCTGTTATTGGTGACTTGGGCGAGCTTTCTGCCGTGGTCGACCTCGCCAAGAATGGCTAGTTGCAGGACAGCCCAAGATGTCAACCTTGTACGAAAGATGACCCCGCTTATCAGAATTAAACCAGTGGTGTACTTGGGCAGGTCGGAGGAATGTCTTGTTCAAAGCGAATGTTTATCCCAGTTTTGCCCAATTAGGCAGATATCAGGGACAACGCGGAACAGCATCAACGCCATTCATTCAGGTAGGACTTAGGTCGTCCGTTCTCTGAAAGGCCAAATTCTCTGTTCACGAGCAGAATGGCCTTGGAATCCTTCCATCTCTTCTCATCTCTTCCTCCCGAGCTCCGTCGGACGATCTATCTTCTTGCCACGCCGCCTCGCGTCGTCCATATAAGAGAAGTAGCTGAAGATAAGCTTGCATTTCTCAAAAATCTCAGTATCATAGCATTCAAGAGACAGCTATGTTCTTCCCTGACACATTTCGCCCACCACTGGCGTGGTTGTATCCCCAAGAATACCAGACAACCAACGCTCGAGCGCTTCGGAGTTACCGGGGCCCGGCCACGCTATCAACCCTGGGAGCCGTCAGATGCAACCCCCGATATCGATATAGCATGGCTAATTACGCAACCGGAGTTAGCATGGGAGATGATCCGCAACTGCTACCTGTACAGCGACACGCCAATCCCAGCACTGCTGCACGTCTGGTCTGAATCGCGCCAGGAGTTGATCACACTGGGGTATGAGCTTGCGTTTCGAACACGCTCACATGGTCCCCGAACGTGGTTCAATTTCAATTGTGACGTGATGTATATCACAAATGTCGAGGACAGTCCGCAGTCTTCAGGAAATGGCTCGTTTCTCTGTAGCAACATATTTTACGATGTCGGGCAGTTCCATCCGCGTGATCTGACCAGAGTGAAGAGATTAGCCTTGGGAGAGGGCGGTCCACTCTTATTTCCATGGTGGGAAAGGACATCCTGGACGAGAGGAATATTCAACCTCTTGACCCTCTTCGGGCATCTAGATGAGCTGCTGCTGAGCGAATGGGAGGAAGAAGATATTGCCTGTTGGAAGGAATTGGGGCCTCATTGGGAAGGGTACTCGTTCACTTCGATTAATAAACGTGAGCACCGATGCTGCTTGGCTGTTGAAGAGATCGACGCCTTGCATTCAATCGTCTTTCCTGGTGGTTGTCGCAGTGACTTAGGGTCCGTTGGGCAAGTTGCCGAAATACTTAAAGCCTATCAGCAAAACATGGGAAGCAGTTTCCGCTACTTTGAACACCGACCAGATGTCATCAAACGAGACATTGCCGCTCTGAGAGACGCCATTCTCGCTCCAGGCCCTCACATACCCATCCTCCGAGATCCCTGGCCGATCCCCAGGATCCGAGTCGTACATATTCTGCCAGAATCCATGGCCGAACGAATGCGCCTTGAGCGACTGTTTGCCTGGGGAAAGCTCTACCAAATGAAAAGAGACTGGAGAAACGCTATAGAGGGCATCCCGACCAACACTTACTCAAATGGCAGGGCCGTGACTCCTGAGCTAGACATGCCAGATAGTCCGCAATTCAACTGGCAGACGGACGACCAGGAGGAGTATTTAGACGCTAGGGCCTTTAGCGTCTACTCATATGAGCAGATTGAGGGTGATACTTTACTATGGGGTCGATATCGTCCGAAGTCGTGGTGGACACAGAAAGGATTAGTTGCGAAACCAGGACATGAAATCCTGCTCTAATCTCAGTCACAGAGTTGATTTAATTTCGGGGTATGCATTCATGCGAGTGACCTTTTCCTTCATTGTATGAAGCCAAAAGCGAGGTAGTTAATTCCACGAGAGGATGTATGCTATCAGCCTGACTATATTATATGATCCAACACTATGATCATTTGAATGTGTTCAAGCACTACATATCACATTCTTTTGTGGTATCTAGTACATACGACCACAGGGTGTGGAGAACAGGGCTTCCCGTCCGCTCAGCCGTACTTAAGCCACACGCCGGCAGGTTAGTAGTTGGGTGGGTGACCACCAGCGAATCCCTGCTGTTGTATGTTTTTTTTTTGGCTTACGTTTTGGCTCTCTGCATTGTACAAAATACGAGAGTTCCGGAGTGTGAACTCTTCTAAGCCCCAAAACAAAGGAACTGGTGGGCCCGAGAGAAGCGAGTTGGGGGCGGACCCAAATTAAAGGAGCCACTCGTTACACTCGGCGAGGCACCAGGCAGAAAGCCACTAGGCACACCAGGCATCTTCAGAATCCTTCACAAACGAAAATTTATTTAAGAAGATACCTGGTTAGACTGTCTGGCAGTTATCAACAATAAATATTCTGTTCGATTTTCATCGACGAACACAAATATGGGTAAATGACATTCCTCTTGCGTGCAATGACACTGAACTGACAGCTTGAAACAGGCTACTCCGAGGTTAGACCAAGCATTCCCCTGACCGAACGTAGCGGTCTAACTTCATCGTCAGATATACTGCGCGCTCTGCGGCATCAGCTTCAACATGGCACGTATCAGAACGGCCGACGAGCCTGATGAAGCCGCATGGTCAACGTACGGCCCAGCAGGATGGATTAATCCTCTTGGGCGTGACAACGACGAGTGTTCCACCGAGGAAACAGGCTGTTTCTATGTCATCCGGAATTGCGAGTGGTTCAAGCACGGTGTCAGCGAAGGCATGAAGTCCGATCTCTGGGGCACGATGTTCTTCGACTACGAGCCGGGAAAGATCCCCAAGGTCGGAGACAGATTGCCCATGGCCGAGCCAGTGATCGAACTAGATGGTCGAATTGGGCTACAAAAGCAAGACCTCGAGCATGTCGCCGGGCCTGGGTGTAGCCTTGATGATGGATACCTCGGGCATCATATTTCCGTGGAAGAAATGCGTTATTGCCAAACTGCTCAGGGGCTTGCCCTGAAAAAAGATGACTGGCAGCCTCAGTCAGATGATCATCCAGCCGAGTTGCAGAGTAAATACTTCCTGACAGGCCTAGCAGATGGCATGCCCGATATCGAGATGGGTCCAACTGGTGTCAGTCCCGTGAGGCACGGTGTTAGTGAGCTTGATTCCGCGGATCCGTTTGGTCATGTAAGTGTTTGGCTTCCTGCTGAGGTCAGAATCCTTGAATTGCTAATCGTTGATTCAGTGCTATGATGATGATTACAATCAACCGTCATTTCATCCATCCTGTTTCGCCATCTTCATGAAGCTCAGCCGTCTTCGTTTTGGCCACGTCGAGATTGACGGTCTAATGGAGTATTTCGCGGCTCTTGCCAGCGTAGGTCACGAAATTCCAGATGAACTGTGTGATCCCGACGCCGCAGCAGGCATGGATCAATGGTGGGATCATAACCGCGGGGCAGAATGGCTCGCTGCCAATCCATTCTATGTACCACGTTTACGAGAAATCTTCAAACAGGCCATGGACACCGAGCCCTCCTTCAGTCAGCAGGATTCCGTCTTTAAAGCCGGCCCTCTGGATTCTGGCTCTGAAGACACCAATGAACCCTTTGCCCGACTCCCACCCGAGCTGCGAAATATGATCCTCGATTCTCTTGACCCGAAGGACATTGCATCATTGCGCCTTGCCTCGCGCACCTTCTACGATCTTCCCGCGTCTCTATTTCACAGTCTCATTAAAAAGGAAATGCCCTGGCTATGGGAAGTTTGGGACAATGAGCCGCCATTCTTCTGGGCTACCGTTAATGAATCAGACATCAGGGCTAACGGGATCATGGATGGTTCAAGCAATGAAGAGTCTCGGGTGATAGGGCACAATATTGACGTCCAAGAACATTTGCGTCAGTGGACATTGCCGAAACCACTGGTCTCCACTACGAATTGGTACATCATCTATCGTGACATCAAGAAGCATTGGACCGACTTGAAAGGACTGCGCAACCGGAGACGCATCTGGACCTGGCAAGGGGGGAAAGGGGGAATTCTTGATGGATTGGCGCAGCATTTAGACAAGGGACTGGACTGAGTTTGATGGGAAAGAGTGGCTACGGTGGCTATGAATTCTCATTCCCCTGTATGTTGTATTTCAACGTCGGACTTCATTTCTGTATGGCGAAAGGCAACTTAAATTTCGGGTTAATATCGTCCCAAACATTTTGCTCGTCTCGCCAGCTTTTTCTTTCACAACAAAGTCCCAAGCAGGATATTCTCTCCCAATTCTCAGTTCACAATTTTGTTGAAGTTAAGCTCTTGCATAACATTCCACAGCATCTCTAACAGTTGAGCGAGCACCATCATCAAGCCGGGCCATGCTCGCTGTTGATTTCTCTAGCTGCCATAACGGTCTTCGAGAGTTATCCGATAGCATACGATAAATAATCACCCTACGCTAAGCAAACTCATGGAAAGTTGGCGACAGGACCAATCCCGATCCTCGCAATTATCTCTTTTCTTCCGACAGGATCGAACTAGCGTTATCGCCTTGCACATGATTGCGGGGAATGGATGCTTTAAGCCACGTTAGTAACACAGCCTATCACCGTCTGACATTTACCGTCATTTCGCGGGGTAGTGAGCGCCTATTTCTGCTTTATATTGGTCCAGATAGGCCCGGTTCATGTCGGTATCACGTAGTGTTTTGGAACTGACTCGTGTCGAGTAACTAAGGTTGTATTCTTGTCCGTCTCTATTTCATTATCTACTATTCTAGTTAGCTTCTCTCTCGGCATTGCTGCACAGAGTCCTGATTGATATATATATAGGTCTACTTCTGAGCCTTATTTCGAGCTCTAACTTCCGTCGCAGAATCCAAAAACCACTCCAAATTGAACACAGCAACTAAGAAGCATCATGACTTCCCCACCCATTCAGAGAATACCTTACTCAGCTCCGCGCGATTCATTCATCAACGCCTTAAAGAAAGATGGCTGCGTCATCGTCCAGGATTTCACGACGTTGGAGGCCCTAGAACAGGCGCGACAAGAGGTCGAGCCATGGTTATCCCAGGAGAACAACGGGAGCGAAGTCGGTGGTAAGCAAACTGCCAATTATATCGCATACAGAAGCTACATCTAACTGCAATACCAGCTCTGAATGGAGGAACGAGAACCTGCACCCGCCTAGTCGGACGCAGTCAAACTGTTCGCGAGAAATTCTTCTCCGATCCTCTTTACCAAGTATTGTGCCGTTGACACTTCACCCCAACCCATTCCGATCAACGCATTCAATATTAACCTCCTGCAGAACATGGCCGAGGAATTCCTCGCAATCGAAACAACAAACTGGTACAACGAAGAGCCCTCCACAAACACCACCCACCCTCTCCTCTCCATCTCAATCACAATGGACATTCGTCCCGGCGCGAAAGCCCAGAAACTTCACCGGGACGATAAGAACCATCACGCTCGCCACGCACCCGTCAAGGCTTATCATCGCAACCGAGATATGCTACTCGGTCTTTTCGTGCCAGGTTGCGACTCTACGCGGGCGATCGGCGCCACGCGTGTCGTTCCGAGTAGTCATCTCTGGGGCGACGAGAGGCCTGATTTCGGTCCGGATCTCGACAAGGGGGTCGTTGATGCGGAGCTGAAAGCCGGCGAGGCGTTTCTCATGCTAGGGAGTCTGTATCATGGTGGTGGTGAGTTCTTTCAGGAGACGGGGAATCGGATGGTTCATATTATGTTTATGTGTAGTGGGATTTATCGGCAGGAGGTATGTCTATGGCTTATTTTGGGGGCTTGGAAATGTGGTTGCGGATGAGGTGGAGATGCTGATTTGATGACCATAGGAAATTTCATATCTTTCGTACCCAATTGAGGATGTGAAAAATTACTCTAAGCTGGTCCAGCAACGCCTTGGTTGGAAGCAGTCTGAGCCGAATCTGGGGTGGGTGGATCTGGTATCGCCAGAGGCGTTGTTGGTCTAAGGCACCGAATACTCATAGGTCCAATGAGATGCACATATCTTGGAATTCCCTATTTAAGACACCCCTCAAGCATTTGCTTTATCTTCTTTGGGCCTTCATTAATAGATCCAACGTACCCCACAATCCAAATTCCCTTCATCCCAAAGTCCCCAGATATTATGGCCTGTCCTACATCGCCTGCAAGGTATCTCTCGGACATCCATATCTCATTAATCCATTCTGTCTTGTTCCATGATATATGTCCCTCAAATTGATCTCTCGTGACTGGCCAAGAAGACAAATATCATACATGTTCGACAAAGTATACTCCCATTCCCCAGGTTTCATAACCATATGTTCCATTAACGCCACATGTCCGCATTATTGGTGAGACATATCACATCAATCGCTCGGTTCTTCTCGTGTTCGTGATTCGAGCAGTCCAGGGTCCCTTAATCAAGTAGAACTGGACACCGAATCTATTGTGAGGCTCTAGATTATAGGAGGTAAGGGAGGTGGAAGGCGGCATATACGAACAGGTGGAGTATTTACCTCTGTGTCTGTCCTAGAGACAGGTCACATTAGGTCTACTGTCTTAGTGTTTTTCTTCGGCGTCTATGGTAGGCTTTTGGGAGTAGTCGAGGTAATTGTTTGTGGATACCTTATACTCTTTCCTTAAGGGATCTTGCACTTTCAGCTCATCATTGTAAGCCCATCTCTATCTAGCGAAAAGAGTTATATAAAGACTCCCATCCTCCCTCTCGGTACCATATCATCCACCATCTCAACCCCTCAACTAAATCAACACCCAATCAAATTCAGCTCCATCAAAAATGTATAAAAACCTCGTCCTCCCAACCCTCCTCCTCCTCGCCACCTCCACCACCAGCACCCCAACACTCATCGACCTCCCCTCCCTCTCAACCTGCACGACCCTTGCCCCTAGCACAATCGACATCCTCGCCCACTCAAACCCAGACACACCAACCCTCGGCACCCATCTCAACCTCACCCGCAGCACCACCTCCAAAAACACTTCCTCCGTGACCCTCACCTTCACCGAAATCCCAACCTCCGCAACAGGGTGTATCCTTCAACTCGCGATCCCCCAACTAACCACCCCTCACGAGATCGCATCCGGATCCGCCACGCAGGCTGATATCTGGAAAACGGCACCCTGGACATCCGATCACGCACCGACTTGGAACAATCCCCCGGTGAAAGATCAGATGGTTTCGATTGCGCGGTTCCCGACGGAGGTCACGGATGAGGAGCAGGTGAATTGGTTGGCGAGTGGGAACTGTGATGGGACGATGAGCTTTCTGGTGGAGTTGAGTGAATGGCAGACTGGGGAGGGGAGTGTGGAGTTTGTGAATAGGGTTGATGGCGGGGAGGGGGATTTGGGGTTTAGATTGGTTTATGGATGTTAAGGGTATGGAGGAGGTTCTTTGGTTTGGGTTGTTCATGGTGGTAGATGGAGATAGGGATTCGATGGTGTTGGAGGAGGTAGTCAGGGCTTGTGTTGGATATATTTCTGGAAGGTGGAACGGGACTGAGCAGTTTGTTGTCTGATATGCTAAGGTTTTTGGGTTCTTTGTATGTCGCTTGTCTATTGCCTTGGTTTACGGTTTTATAAATTTTTAGCTTTTACCGCCCAAGGATCCTGAGTATTATGTCTCAGTTCCCGAACAAAGCGAACACAGCTGATATACTCTACTAATCCAAACCAAAAGTCTCAAATAGCCTCCCATCGCTAATCCTGAAAAGTCTTATCTCTTTTCTTTGTATAGCTTTTCTAGGTTAACAACAAAACCAATCAAATATGCCACCCATCGCTCAAATGTCTACAATCATGAGATGGCCTTCCCACCATAAACGAAATAACAAAAGTCCACCCGAAATACACAAACAATATAAACAAAGCTCAAATAATCATGCATCGAACATAGCATTCCGACAACAAGTAATGAGGGCCTTCAGCATAATGCTGATCGGCTTTTTCTCCGCTTGCTCGATAGACATCCTCTCGACAAAACATCCAAGCCAAGCCATGAGGCCAAGATCGGCCTGGGCGTTCTTGTGCGTTGGGGACGCGAGGATGCCCCAGCAGAGAATGAAGAAGGGGACGGCTTCGTACATGAAGTATATGCTGTTTTAGATTTACGGTTAATTAAGAAATGGTGATGTTTTCTGGAGCTTGGAAAGTAAGCATACCTGATCCCCCAATACTGGTTCGTAGAAGAGCCCACGATCTTCTGGATCATTGTCATCGAAGCTCTAGCAATCTCAAGAGATCTCTCTGATAGAGCTGTATTTGTTCGATTGCCTCTTTTGGACTGGTGGAACATGATCAACATCTTGTAGCAGCTGACGAAGATGTCCATGCAGAAGCGCAGGTCGATGTGGTTGTTCGTGTTGCTGAAGAGTTCGTCCTGCCGATTGGTAAGACGAGAGCGTGCGCTGTCAGCAGATGGAAGATCCAACCTACCGCGTTCCAATTACACATGATCGACTCAACCTCTGCGACGAGATTATCCAGCGACTCGTCAAACGTAGCAACAGTATCATCCGTGGTAAATTCCAACAAATCTTGATATTTCAGCAATACTAGTGTAAGACGCATCGAGGCCAGAAAGTGGATTTGGATATATCGGGTAGACGTGTGAGTAAAGCCGTTGATGCTTGGGTCGGGAAAGTTAACCGCCCACGACCCGGCGGCGATCAGGGCAGGTTTGCCGAAATGCAGGCGGAAGACGCAGTCCATACGCAACAAATGCCAGAATTCGAACCGCATTTGATTCTTGCTGATCTGTTGTGCATAGCGGCTGCCGTCCGGAAATCCCTGCTGATTTGGCACTTCGGTGTCGGCATCGACGGTCAAGTAACCCAAGGCCCTTGCAATGGTGATGGTATGGCCGAAGCTCCTCCACGCCAGCTCCGTTCTGCAGTTTTCCAGGGAGGTGGAGAGCTGATAAGGAGAGATTGGTAAGAGACACGTGGCAAGCGAATACCTTAAATATGGCACTAGTACTTACCACGAAAAACGATGCATATAAATCAGGCACGGTAATTTGGACCGAATTGACCCAGCTCTCTGCCAGTTCCGCCACGGTAAGATAGATGTCCCGAATAAGAGCCGACCGATCGGGCACGGGGTCCGGGTCTATGAAGAGCCCCTGCACAAGGGCACTATAATAAAGTATTTGCGAGGTGGCGTCGAGTTGAACATGGGGGATCTCCCGTAGGTCGGGGATCGACAGCAAAAAGTTCCGGTCCAGGGGTACCCGGAAGGCCTCGAATTGATGGCCATCAAAGTACACTAAACGAACTTAAATTAGCACTGCAATTTGGCAAGTATGCCCTGGTTGGTACGGACAATTTATCCATCGAGCTGCCATTTCTTTGTTGATTGAACTGGGTGTAGGTGCCAAGCCGCTCTCCTGCATGTCTTCCCACAGTTGAATTTCCGTCACCGCGTTGTCGAGGGCATTGCGACACACCTCGAGGTCGAACACGTCGAAACCCACGTAGGGCAGCTGGCAGAAGACGGTCGACCACAGCAGCGATTTAGTTTCATCTTTCTTCAGACGGTTCAGCAAAGTATAGACCGCACTTCGCATCGGTCGGATGGGCTTGACGGGGGCCATGATATCATCCTTCCACAGGGATCTATGAGTCTCCGAGTCCACGTCGGAGACAGACATCGAGCTCGAGTCCTCATCTTGGTCTCCGTCTCCAGACTCTTTACTGAGCATACAGTGGTCTTCGAGTCGCTCGAGACGATCTAAAATGCTGGAGAGAATATCCTTCTCCTGGTGTCTCCTACCGTCGTCGAACCGTCAGATGCATCAACGCAGGGATTCCGGACAAGGATGCACCAAGAGTCCAGACAAGGTCGGCATACCGTGGCTTCTTTGCTCTAGCCTTCCGGGGAAGGTAAATACATTCCGTACCAATGGCATCGCACTTGTCGCACCGAGGATGAACCCTATTGCATCGGATCTAGGTAGGTGCACCGTAGACAAAGGGGCCGTGATCAGCCAGTCGGGCCAATTCTCAACGCACGGCAGACTGCATAATCCTCTCACCGTAGACCGGAGGATACAGTACAGTACATACCTTCTTAGACTTGCAACGGGTGCACTGCCCAGGAACGCCAGTAGGAACAATAATCAGCATCCGTCACGATCACTACCAGCGGCAGAGACCCCCGACCTCGAGCCAGACACGGGCGCCCCACTTACCGAAATCTGCATCAATGGTCTTTGGGCGGTCATAACCACTAAGAATTAGAGAAACCTACATTCAGATAGAGCGGGTGAGGGGGGGGGCAGACAGTGTGTCACGGTGAACAAGGGAGGTGGGAAAGGAACCAGACCCCTGGGGGAACTTGGGGAATTCCTCGAATGTCCGAAGTCACGCCGGACTTTCACGGAATTCCCGAATGTCCGGGCGGGGCGGCAGTCGCGCCAATCAGCGGGAGTCCAGCCGGTCGATCTCCCCGTATTCCTCCTGCCTCTGTCCATGGACCACTTTACCGGTTGAGCTGACATGCGACCTGTATCCACTCGCTGCAAACCTGCATCTGCCTGACGTGAACGCAGCTCATGGGTCACTTTATAATTCCGCCCTTTCTTCCACATATGATTGCGGCGGAATTGACCATTACTGTCCTCCATCATGGCCAATTTGACACAGGCTGAGCCTTTGAAAGGTTCAAGCGACAACAATGGCGTTCCCGGAGAAGCATCGGCATCGATTATTCCCGATGGACGAAGTACCAGTCCTGCAGACGCGGGTCAAGCCGAAGACCGTCACGATGAAGCCGGCGAAAAACAAAATGAATCGCCCCAGCAATCGGTCTCCTTAGCCAATTACTTTGTATGACTCTCGTGCAATAAAGGTCTACGAATGTACTGACACGCTACCAGAGAATTCTATCCTACACCAACAGAAAAGACCGCATGGTGCTTGCCCTGGGAGTCCTCAGCTCAATCGGTTCGGGAGTGGTATGTTCATCCCCCGCTGTGCTTGAACGCCCGCTTATCGTCGCATCCAGCCTCTACCTATAATGAATATTGTATTCGGCGGCCTGGTGGGGGAATTTACGGAATATTTCACGCCGGGCAGCTCGGCGTCAGAGAGCGATTTTAAGTCCTCAGTGAGCCAGCTGAGGTAGGAATTGCAGAGCGGAAACCCCGACCGTTTTCTTGCGCGCGCTGACCGGTTCTATCTAGCTTGTACATTGTATACTTGTTCATCGCCAAATTTGGTCTAACGTATTTCGCAATGGTGAGCCTGACTTCCCCGTCACGAAGTATCGATCTAACCCCCCTGCTCAACAGCTCTGTTTCCGCATCACGGGCCTTCGCGTATCGGCTTCGCTGCGTCTAGAATACATGGAATCTCTGTTCTCGCAACCGATCAGCAAAGTCGACCAACTGTCCGTGGGAAGCGTCACGAACACCATCACCACGCTCTCCAACAGCATCCAACAAAGTGTCGCCGACAAGCTAGCCATCCTCATCCAGTCGCTCACTCTACTACTCACGGCCTACATCATCGCTTTCACCTACTCGTGGGCCTTGACTCTCGTCACCAGTGCATCGCTGCTATTTATCCTCATTGCCATCAGCCTGATCCTTCCACTCATCACAAAAACCCAACAACAGGTCGACAAAGCGGATGAGAAACACTCGTCGATCTCCGGAGAAGTGCTGAGTTCCATCCGAACGGTCTGCTCGCTAGGCGCGGAGGGTACCTTGTCGGCCAAGTACGGTGCCTGGGTCCGGGAGTCGCGTGTGTGCGGCCAACGCATGGCTGTCTTTTTGGGGATCAACTTGACGTGTATATTTTTCGCCATGTACTGCAGCTACTCGTTGGCTTTTTGGTTCGGATTGAAACTGTTCCGCGAGGGGCATATTGCGAAAATCAACACCGTGATCATGTACGTCATATCAATTTCTTGAGGAGTACATGGAGTCGGCTAATTCTTTTTTTACACAGCGTCTTCTTCTCCATCATGCTCGTGGTCAGCATTCTCGGATCGATCGCATCGCCACTGATGATCATTACCAAGGCCGTCAGCGCATCCGCCTCCTTTTTCGAGATCATGGACGCCCAGAAAGTAGACACTTCGGGTCTGCGTGAAACGGAGGCCTCGGCTCAGGTGGATATTGTTTTCCGAGATGCGCATTTCTCTTACCCTGCGCGGTCTGAAGTTCCAGTCCTGAAAGGTCTAAACACCCGTTTCGAACAAGGCAAGACAACGGCGCTAGTCGGACCCTCGGGATCGGGAAAGAGTACGATTGTCGCGTTGATCGAACGGTGGTACCAGTTAGATACGGATGACGAGCAACAAGGGTCGATTTTGGTCGGTAATCATAACATTAACAGTCTCGACTTGAAATGGTGGCGTTCGCAAATTGGCCTCGTGCAGCAGGAGCCGTTCTTGTTCAATAACAGCATTTTCGAGAATGTCGCGTTCGGTCTTATCGGTACGAAATGGGAACATGAGTCGGAGGAAGTGAAAAAACAGCTTGTGGAAGAGGCGTGTCGGGAAGCATTTGCTGAAGAATTCATCCTCCGTTTACCAGAGGTATGTTGTTCTCCCTGTTCAGTAGGCCCTCGCTAACCATCCTAGGGCTATGATACGGAGGTTGGAGAGAGTGGCATCAAACTCAGTGGCGGTCAGCGCCAGCGTTTGGCGATCGCACGAAGCATCATCAAACAACCCACTATTTTGATCCTGGACGAGGCAACAAGTGCGATCGACGTGCGTGGCGAAAGAATCGTGCAAGCTGCTCTCGAGAGAGTTTCCCAGAACCGAACGACGATCGTCATCGCTCATAGACTCTCCACCGTCCAGCAGGCCGATCATATCGTGGTCATGAAGGCCGGCCTCAGTGTTGAACAGGGCACTCACGAGGAACTTCTGGCAATTAAAAATGGCGTTTACAGCGGTCTCGTGAACGCGCAGCAACTCGAACTCGCAACGGAGGCGGATACGGACTCAACGGAAAGTTTGCACGAGCTGAAAGAAGAAGCCACCGCTAGAACCATGTCCGTGCATGAAGATGAGCGTAAAGAGGTCGGCTCAGACAAGACAAAGACCAAGGGCTTCTTTGGGACCGTTGGTTTGATGCTTTGGGAACAGCGTGCCCTCTGGCCATTTTACAGCCTGACTTTGATCGCCTGCATGGGGGCTGGAGGTAAGCACCCCGAACTTTTCGCTCTCTTGAAACCAGTCTTGCTCACATTCGTCCCAACTACTAGGTGCATACGCCCTCCAAAGCTGGCTCTTTGCCAAGTTGATCGAGGTGTTTCAATTTCGGGGCCAGAAACTGGCCGATGCTGCTAACTTTTGGGCCTTGATGTTTTTCATTCTCGCTCTTGCCATTGGCGTTTTCTACTTTTTCCTTGGTTATGCTTCCCATATGTGCTCTATGGTATGCTCGCCTCTCCCTTCCTTTGTCCTCGCAGCCACAATAAGCTAATATCCCACCAGAAAGTCTGCGCAACCTACCGGATGGAATATTTCCAGAACACCCTACAAAAGCCGATGTCGTTCTACGACTTGGATGAGAACGCCTCTGGATCTCTCATGGGCAGACTCACCACCGATCCCAAGCAGCTGCAAGAAATCTTCGGCATGAACGGCGCTTTGCCCTTAGTGTCTATCTTCAACATTATCGGTTGCATTGCCATTGCGTTCTCATTCGGTTGGAAACTGAGTCTCGTGACGGTCTTTGCCGCCTTGCCAGTCATTTTCTTTGCTGCCTACATGCGCATTCGGTTTGAGGTACAGTTTGAAGCGATGAATGCGAAGGTTTATAATGGTAGTTCGCAGTTCGCGGCGGAGGCAATCGGGGCATTTCGAACCGTCTCTTCATTGACGATGGAAGATACTATTCTTGGTCGGTACGCCGATCTTCTGCGAGATCAGCAGAAAAAGGCCATCAATAAGGCTTGGTATGCGACGTTGGTCTTTGCTTTCTCGGATAGTATCGAGCTTTGCGCGATGGCACTCACGTTTTGGTAAACACTTTTTTTTTTTTGCCCCAGAGAAGGGTAACAGTCGATAGCTAACTTTCCCAGGTACGGCGGCCAACTTCTCGCGTCCAGAGAATACGAACCGACTAGCTTCTTCGTCATCTACATGGGCATCGTCCAGAGCGGTCAACAAGCAGGTCAATTCTTCAGTTACGGGTCGAATTTCGCGCACGGCATCGCATCCGCAAACCGCATCTTAAAATCCCGCCTAGGCATCCACCCCCAGAACCAATCCCCCGACGAAAAGCAAACCACGGGCCTAAACAATGACATCGGAGCAAGCATCGAGCTACGCAACGTCGCATTCAAGTATCCGACGCGCGACACGCCCCTCTTCACCGGCTTAAACGTCGACATCAAGAGCGGCCAATTCGTCGCCTTCGTAGGCCCGTCCGGCTGCGGCAAAACAAGCGTCATATCCCTCTTAGAAAGATTCTACGATCCCATTCGAGGTACTATCCTCATAAACGGCCACGACATCTCATCCATCGACCTAGCATCCTACCGTCGCGCACTATCCCTCGTAGCGCAAGAGCCTAAACTCTTCGAGGGCAGTATCCGCGAGAATATCACACTCGGCCTTAAGGACTCCGATTTCACGGACGACGAAATCGCCCAGGTCTGCAAAGACGCTGAAATCCACGACTTCATCACCTCCCTTCCACGAAGCTATTCCACCGATCTCGGCGTCAAGGCACAGGCATCTATGAGTGGCGGACAGCGCCAGCGACTCTGTATCGCGCGCGCGTTATTGCGTAAACCGACTCTTCTGCTTCTCGACGAGGCAACGTCGAGTCTAGACTCGCAGTCCGAGAAGACTGTGCAGGCGGCGATTGAGAATCTAGCCGGGAAAAAGAATATGACGATTGTGGCTGTCGCGCACCGGCTTGCCACGATTCAAAAGGCTGATACTATTTTTGTTTTCGGGGAGGGTCAGCCGGGGAGGGGATCTGGGGTTGTTGAGTATGGGACGCATCAGGAGTTGCTTCGTAGGAGGGGGGTTTATTGGCAGATGGTGAGTTTTCTTTCTTTCGGGTTTGTTGGGGATATTGCTAACTGCTTTATAGTGTCAGGAACAAGCTTTGGGTCGATAAATTATATTAATGGTAATCAGCACGGCTTAAAATATGTACAGAAGTTAAAATGGTTGGATATCTGGATATCCCTTACATGCTCTGTATACATACTGGTACACAATGTTGTGTTAGAAATTAATATATGAGTGAAAAGTCCAAAATACATCTAAACCTACCAAAAGTAACACACTTCACATCCAACTTGCATTCCTCAATATCAATCCCAATAGCCAGAAACCCTCTCCAAGTACTCCCCCAAAGACGAAGTTTCACCTTTCACCAACTCCTTACTCTCATTCAACCCCTCTTCTCCTGCCATGAAATACCCATATTCATCAATCATCAAATGAGTCTCCATATACTCCAATCCACATCCATCCGGTGCTAGAGCCCTAAACTCCTCAGGCGTCACTTGACAAAATACCCATTTCTTCCCTGTCACTCGAGAGAATGTTTCCATGATTTCACACGCAGAGTAATACCGATCTGCGACGAGGACTCGGCGACCTGCGAAAACATCTAGATCTTTCAGGATGGTGCCCACGAATAGCCCTGCATAGAAAGTCAGCAGTGCTTAATTAAATCCAGACCACTCAAAACCAAGCATAATAACCGAAGCAGAAAAAAAAAAAAAAAAAAAAAAAAAAAAAAAAAAAAAAGAGAGAGAGAGAGAAGAGAAGAGGAAACTCACCAACATCCTTCTCCGCGTCAACCAGCGGCAAAATCCGTCTATCTCCATCAAACGGATACCTTAACAAAAATCCTTCCTCCCTGATCCCCTCCCCCTCCTTCCTCTCCCCATTCATCCTCTCAGCCAACCCCAAAAAATTATTCATATAATACCCCACCAACACAGCCGTCCATTTCATCCCAGACGCCTGAAGATACTCTTCCGCTCTAGCCTTCCCCTCCCGATGACCGACATTCCTATACCGTCCATCAGTATGCAGAATGGTGCTATCCAGAGACGAAAAGACCACGTGCTTCACGCCGGCGGCGGTTGCGGCGTCGATGACGTGCTTGGCTTGTTGGAATTCTTTGGTTGGGCTTTGGTGCGTCCAGTAGTCTGTTGCTAGGAAGATGGTGTGTGTGTCTTGGAGAGTGGGAGGGATGGTGAGTGGGTTGTTGAGGTCGGCCTGTATAGGTTAGGGACATGTACATAGTTAGGTCGAGGGGTTGGGAGTGGAAAGTAATTGGGATATAGAAGAAGGGGTGAACAATAGTGGAGGATATACAGTAAGGAGCTCGATGTTATGATTGAGAAGTTTCTGGGCTGCTGGCTTTGAGATGTCGCGAGTGACGCCGCGGATACGGAATTCCTTGGACAGGTCGGGGTCATTCAGGATGTGGTGGATGACGGAGGTGCCTTGCGTGCCGGTGGCTCCGAAAATGGTGATCAACTTTTCCATGGTTAATGTGCTTTGGGACAGATTATTGAGGGGATATGGGCTGTTTGGATGATCATGAAGGAATATTGGGATTGAAGCCATATTTGTATGTAGTCGTAGAAGAGCGGACACGGATACGAGTCGTATTTGAGCGTGGATTATTAAGGATTACTTTGTCAGGGGTTCAGCATTATTAATCTGAGTGGTCATATCATTTGGATAATCTGGTGTCTGAACCAATGAAAGCTAAAGTGAGCTAGTTGAAGAGTAATATCAATCAAAAGGAAAGAGCCGAGAAACAGAGATGTATATCAAGAACTGTGTCGGTATACCCTCGAATGTGAGCATGGAAATCAATCAGACAGTAGAACGCGGAAAACAAAGAGCAAAGAGCGAAGAGTAGAAAATAGAAAAAGAAAAGAAAAAAAAAAAAGCAGACGTGAAGACCAAATTTGTTATCCTCAGGGTTCTTCGTGATCAACGAATACTTCTTCAACATCAACCCAGGACCATTCATGATCCAACGCTGAGTCCTCGACATCTTGACTGTCTGGTATAGAGGGCAGTTTGGCTTGGAGCTTCCTCAATTCTTGGCTCATGTCTCGCTGTGCCTTTCCCAGTTCTTTCACACTTTTTCGGTATTTCGGGTTGAACACGACAATCCGAATAAGAACTTGCAGCCACTCCCTCCGTATGTTATCCCGAGTAGAAGGGTCGCTAGGCCCCGAGGTCGTATTAAACGGTTCTGGTTTGTCCCCTTTGGCCGCAGCTCCGCCTGCAGCTTCTAGAAGCAAGTCGCAGCAATTGAGGACGGCCTGCATCATGTCGACCTGCTTAGCCAGGAACCTTTCTTCGAGTTTGGGATCGTTGGACTCCTCCGTTTGGCCACCAGCATTCTGCGCGCTCGACTCTGGCTTTTCCGAAACATCGGCACTGGCGCCGACACCATCTGTCTGATTTCCAGGCCGTTTGTCTCTCCACGACAGCTTTCCCATCTCGTTCCCTTTCGACGCCGTGGCTGCCAACTGGTGGGTGCTTTCGGCCATGGCCATGAGGATTTCATGCGTTCGCCGCAAATGCGATGTATCGAACTTTGCGATCGCGGGTACTGGTGTCTCCATCAATCTATTGAGGCGGTCTTTGTACTCTTCATGTTCGACCAGGCTCGACTCGTTCTGATTTCCTGTAGTGTGAGGTGCACGCCACCTAAGTCCACTGTTCAATGCTATCCCGGCTGGGCGGGATAAAGGACATTCGTCCAAGATGTGGTAACCGGGGCATCTGCATCTGGGGGTACCATCAGGGTACGTGGGTGCTTGATAAATGGGAATCCGGCTGGTGTACTGAGATGGCATGGGTGGGGTGTAACTCGGGGTTTGGGGGTTGAACTGAGATGACATGGTCGTCATGTATTGGATAGTGATGATATTGATAGTCTGGTTGATTGTCTGATATTGGCTTATATGGGATGATATGGGGTGGATATGAAATGAGAATTTCCGGGTACGTTTATCGTAAGCATCCTTCTAAATGGAAATAGGCATGACGGGCACTGCTCGTCATTCTGTCTAGCGCCCTCTAAAGGAAGGCGCATCTCGGAGCCTTCATGTATGCGTCAATGATGAAGGATCCGGCGCCTTCCCGCATATCGGAAAGGAAACCTCACTGGACCCCTGGATCATTCATCTTTTAGTCACCACCGAACTCTGGAAATTCTCCCTTCGACTTAAAGTTCCCACAGTCCTCGGCTCCTTCCCTCGCCCATCATGTCTTTGTGGTGTTTGTCTCGCGGCGACCATGTTGATATCATAGCTTTAGTAAGCCTATACAGAGAACTGAGTCATATTGGGGTGTCGCGTAGTCGTTTGGACAGATTGGTACTATTCAACAATCCGTTACTTTCTACATTCTATTTTTTCCTCCTTCCACAAAGCAGCCCGTCCTTCTTTTAGGGTGTGCTACAAACCATTCACATCTGTGGGACAACACTCGACTTCGTGAACGACACCTGGTAGCAAGGGAAAGAATGAAAGATCTCTCGACTCAACAGAACAATACAACACATAATCCGGCCTCAGGCAGTAATCTGGTCACTCGAAGGTTCCGGAAGGCATTGGTCTGGTGGAACTATCCTGGTTCTTTACGAGTGATTCAGAGTAGGCAGATCCGTTCTGGAGGAGATAGTCGATAAAAGTTGTTAGTTTTAGAAGACGCAATGAACAACAATGACTCCACAAGGCATTTTCGGCTATATGTCAGGTATAAGGTAGGTTATTTAACAACATTCATTGTCTACTCCGTAAAGACTGAAGACTTGTCTTTCCTTGTGGTTGCAGATGACCTGAGGTTAATTTTTCGGTCGGGCGTCTTAAAACAGGCTTGGCAGTCATGTGATTTTCACCCCACGAAAAATTTCGTTTCAAGCCGCCCGAGCCTTTTCAATCTTATTACCACCTACCATGGCCTGCATGTCTTC